GGGCTTGCCAGAACCCTGAGGCGATATTTAGAGAAGCGTTCGACATGTTTTTCAGGCAGGGTAATGTGGAAGCATTGTCTGGGATGCGCGTTGCAGCCACGGCAGGCCATATGGAAGCGTCATATCTAGTTGGACTACTTGGCATGTCCGGAATTGGTCAGTCAAAAGAGGATGCATTGGAATTCTTGTGTTCTTTGAATCAACGTAACAACATTGATATGAAAGGAACCAGGGATGCTTTGAGACGACGATTAAGCGGAATTTTCTCTGTTGGAAGACATATCGTAGATATGTTTCACTATGGGAAGATTAAGTTCAATCAGTGCAGCGCTTGTAACAACAACGACTGGTGTTTTGTTATTCCAGGCTGGCCTAGTGAAGAAAAGATCAATCCTGCCTTCTGGACTTGTTGCAATCGATGCAAATGGCACCGTGAGAGTGTTTTTTGGTTCAAGGTGATGCGTGTCTATGTTGTGCCAGGGAATCCATACCCTTATAATTAGTTGGAGTATGTTTCTACGGTTTTTATGCGTGTCTATGTTCTACACATGTTGTTTTCTATTTCATGTTTTAATCTATTTTGTCTGGTGTTTGTGCTGTCCTAGCCCGTTTTATATATAAATGTATAATATTTGCTATATAGTGGAATTATTACTGACATAATTGACGGCTAAGAATGACATTTTACTGACACAGATATTTTGTACAACTGCAATCTTAATATTTGGTAAACGAAAACGCATGCATGAAGTGAGTATGTGTCTTTTCACCGGTTCTTGGGAATGACATTTTCCCACTTAGCATATCCCAAATGATTGGGTTACACGTTTCTTAAGCAAAACTTGAACAGTTAAAGACTTTGAATAATTATTTCCTGATGTTGTAGAATGGATGGCTTGTATATTTCCATTTTATGTTTGAAAACATCCCTTACACCTAAAAAAGAAAAAACATTAACAAATTGAAGAAGAGAGAAACTGATTAGCACCAGAAATGGTCTATTCACACGGAAAATAAAAATAAAATTACAAATTTGGAGTAAATATAATTAACAAATGTACAAGCTAACAAGTAATATAACAATAATAATAAAAATAATTTTGGATAAATAATAATAAAATACTAATGTAGCGTAACCATGAAACAGGGAATTGAGGAGGAAGATGAAGTGTGAATGAGGTTGTAGCAATTTTCAGAACATTATTGTGATTTTTGTGTATTTAGTTATGAATTTTCTAAGAAAAAGTCATAAAATAATAATTTAGGGTAAAAGGTAAGGATGTGGCCATGTTGACTGATGCACACTTGTCAAGGGGTGAAAGGTGAGGGGCTGAGATCGCGCCAGGTGTCCATGTGGCAATTATTTTGGCTTTTTTGTGCAAAAATCTTTGAAAAAATGCAATAAATAGTAGAAAAATCCTAAAAATGCCCCGAAAAATACTCCGGCCTCCGTGTGACGTTATAAAACGAGGGGACCCATAGATCATCCATTTCGCAATTAAAAATTCAAAAATGATTTACATAACTCACTTTCCTCTTAACCCTAAGTATATATGTTGTTCACTTTAACAAGTATATTTCCTTAATATTCGTTATATAATTTGTACTAATACAAGAATTAGTTTCCTTTCATATATAAGGATGTAAAATTATCTGTTTTGGTTATAATAATGTACATATAATAAATGCACCACTACTTGGAAGCCATAATTGGAACTGCGCATGCGCCTAGAGCTTTGAAGACGTCAGATATAGTCAATAAGTTGTCCATATGCACCTGCACCTAGAGTTTTCAACACGTCGGCGGTATTCAATAAGTTGTCCTTATGACGCCGCATTGGGAATCAGTAATATATTTTCTATCATGTCCAATCGCATAAACATATATATAAAGAAATAAAGCAATAGTAGGAGATGAACCAGTACAAAAAACAATATATAACTGGTACAAATAATGCCATAACCTTGTCACAAAACCAGTCACACATGCTTTTCCATAAACCTTACCCTAACATATAATACATAAAGGCAACATTGCATATGATGCAACCATGTCCAAATCTGATACGTGATCACAAAAAAATGGACATGGCAGCAACATATGACTGAAGTAGATGGGCACTTTGCATCGTGTTATCGTAATTAAAGACATGAAAATATGAAGGTTGAAATCTTCTATAGTAGTAAGCATCAAAATAGGTTTGAAGCAGAGCTTAACGAAAATTCCAGTTCCTCTGATTTGCCTCTACTCAAACACGATAACCAAAATGGTCACTTCCCTTGCTGAGTATATTTGTTAACGTCGGAAACGGTAATAGATGACCAATCAAACCCGGGTACGACGAGTTTTGCATAGGACCGGAAGTAGTCGAATCCAGCTTGCATCACACGCTTCTTTGACTCCTTTGCATTAGATGAGTTCTTGTATTTTTGAACAGCTACACTCCGAAGTCGTTTGTGTCTACGCTTCATGCGCTGCAACTTCGCCCTATCCAGATTGGCCTGCCTTTTGTCATCTTCAATTTGGCCTTCAACAAATTCCAAACGTACCCTTGCCCTTTGGATTTCATCACCAAGTTGAAGATGCCTCTCCTTCCAGAAAGCAAGAACTCTTTCAGACTCAAAACTTCCAACAAAATGGTCATTCTGTCTAGGAAAGTGACATTGCTTGTCTGGTGACTCACTTGCGTTTCGAAGGCGGTCTTTGTTTGGAGGGGTGTTTATTACGCTCACATCAAACTTGGTTAGTAAATCCATTAAATGGGGGGGAGAGAGTTTCTGTGGAGGAGAGAGTTTCAGTAGATGGAGACACATTCGGTGGAGGAGTGAGTTTTTTGTGGAGGGAGAATTTTTATGAAGGGGGTGATAGTAATACCAATAAAAAAGGGTTCCCGCCAAAAAAAACATTTGGTTGACAATGTATAAATGAAAAAAGGTCTCATACAATCTAAGTTTAATCCTAACTAGTTTGTTTAGTTTGGTTGGGTTCACTAACTAGATGTCACTTCCATTGAGTTTCTTTCAACCACTAACAGTGGTGTAAGGAGAGTGTGAGGTTGACATGCTTGAAAAGCAAAACCTGACACCTGTTTTTTAAAATTGAAATAAAGTAGATATGTTGACTACACGCAAGCTTTGGTCTGTTGGTCTATAAAGCTATGTTCCATTTCTCAAACGAAATTGCATCTGCAATCCTCATCCTCCAAAACAAATAGGATTATTCAAGTATGTCAACCTCTTCAGGCGCCAACAACACAATCGAAGATGAAAATTGGAGTCGCAGGTTCCGTTTCCACGTTGTACTCGCCGACCCCTTCCATTTTCAACATCATTTGGGAGTGAGGGGGACTCCGATGATCCATTAGAGGCAATAGATGCAGTCAGTACCAAGCTGGATTATAATTCCAGACTGATCAATTCATGGCACGAGAAATGTGTTGAAGACGAGGCCATTTTGGCTGATCTTAACATTAGAGTGAACAAAGCGTTCTCCCAAAAGAACAAGTACTTGAAGCTGAGTCATAAAAGGAAGCTGAAAGCTGAGGAGTTGGATGCAGTAATGAATGATGAAATTAAAGGTTGTTTGATGAACCATATGCGATGCGAAGAGCACCACAGTGAACTGGAGTTGGCATTCAACGAAGGATTCGAAAAATTCCGAGCATTCGCGGCAACAACTCATACAAGTTATAATTGGGACTATGTGTCCCCTGATGCTGTGAGAGAGATACTAGACGATGGTGGTGACATGAATGAGCATAAGCACGTCAAAGCTGCTCGGAAGAAGCCGACCGATACGGCTAAGTGATTGCGGCTACAGCTGTTCTGTTGGTTGGGGGTGATCGTGGTATTGCACAAATTAGAACTATGTTCCCTTAATGTCATTATCTAATATAAAATAATACAAATATCAGTTTCATTTGCTTCATATATAATTATTGGGACTATGTCTTGCAAGTCATCATGTGTTCCTTCTGTCTAACATTATATTTTGCAACTATGGAAATATTATTCAATAAGCAGTCAATATCACAGCACCTTGGTAATCAGTAAAGCCCCATTATCATGACACGTGAGTCATAAGTAAAATGCCATGTGCTATACATTGTGTAGTGAATGGTTTATGGTTTATGTATATATAATAAAATTCCAAATATTGCTGAATATTTATTTTGTCTAAATCACTGGGGACATGAGTGACCATAAGCACGCGAGACCTGCTAAGAAGAAGCTGACCAATACGACCTAGTGATTGTGGCTACCGTTGTTCAGTTTATTGGGGAGATCGTGCTATTGCTAAGAGGGAGCACATAAAATGCTTTGCAATCAAATTTTCTTTTGTGTGTGGAATTATGAGTAGTTCAAATGTTAGTGTACCCTTTAATATTACCCAACCATTCGAAATGTGATTAGCTGCAATGTACTTTTTTACACGTTGCTTTCTAATCTTTCTGTTCCAACAAAGTGCTTCAAGTATCCTTCAGCTACGAATGTTTGCAAAATCGTGCACCTAATAACCAGTCCAGCTCAGATCTTAATCACCAGTAAAACACTAGAACATAACATTCGCAAAAAGTGGGTGCTGCTACAAATGATGCGTGCTGCTGGAAATCATTACTGGTAATGGAAACAATAGCTGGCTGCTGGAAATGCTGCATTAGCCTGTCATATAATCAATAAATCTCTATTCAAACATAATTCACCATAAACTACCCATTTTACAAGGTAAAAGTCATTGCTTGTTCACATAAATCAAAATTTGATGCTTTATCTAATGTCTATGAAAATTTCTAAATAGGGAGAAGACGTAAAATTAACATGTGTCCAAATTTCATGCAAGAATGAAACCAAGCAAATTTTCATTTCAATTATCAATGGACATAGTCAGAGCTCATCGGTGGACATGAACAAAAAATTAATAATAATAAAACTGCATCTAGAAAACTTCACCTGATCATTAGTCTTCATAATAACCGGGCTTCGTATAATAGAAACCTAAATCATTGAGTTGGTCCGTGCATCCTGTAAAATTCGTCAAATAATGGGTCACTAAGATCTATTGGAGTTGATTCGTCATTGTTCGACGGTGATGTCCTGCATAAACATCAAACAGAAGCACATAAGAACTTTACCTATTCAAATTTTAGGTCTTATTATAAATAGTGTTAACATCTTACGGTGTGTTCAAATTTCTTGGGCATTGTCTTCTATCATGACCAATGTGTCCACACTCCCGACAGTGTCTAATCCCTCGCTTCATTGCCTTTTCCTTTGCTCCCGTTACTCGTTTCGACCCTCCATTGCACCTTACTCTCTTAGGGTCTTTCATATATTGTGTTTGAGAGCTGGACCCTCCAACTTCGTTATTACTTGGTCCATCCTTCAACAACTTCAACTTCACCTGCAAACTTTTTAGAGTCTCTGACAGTAGCTCACATCCTTCTTCACACATTAATGCATCCTCAACCACATCTGAAGCAAGTCGGGACATTGTACTCCGCTTTATTAAAAGACCAGGATCTGCAGAGTCTTTAATTTCGTTGCCATTTGCATCTGACACCAATCCAAATTTCGCAGTTTTCTTCCACCTCTTCAAAATGTATTTATCGGGCATATATTCAATCTGGTCCCTTCTGAACAATGCTAGGATGTGCTTGCAAATAATTCCAACAAATTCAAATCTTTTGCAGCTACACGATGCGTGGTCAGAATCTTTGACATATACGACTTCTGCCACTCTTGTTTCCCAATTTTTTCCTTTCGCTCACATTAAAGACAACTTTAGAAGCATCCTCTGTTTTCAGCTCTAGGAAACATGCTGTACTTTGTATTAGTTCTTGCTCAAACTTTTGAAACATTGTCCTTGTGTACAAGGTAGCCATTTGTTTGTTCATTGGCATCGGTAGAATACATTGAGCCACTTCAAATGCATCTACGTGATCAGCAACTAACTCTTTTTGACGTTGATGAGAAAGTGCCCTCTCAAATCTTATTATGAAATCCATCAACGAATTTTTCCTTGATATGTATTGCTTGAAGAAACCATGAGAACATTCAGCTCTTTGGCTGCTTGACATTCCAGCGGCAAAAAAGTGTCGTGCGTAGGCTGGAACCCAAGATTCCCTTAAATCAAACATTGAACTTAGCCATGGATGGTCAGTCAAACCAGCCTTTGTAACCACAATATTCCATTTTGCATCAAACTCATCCTTATTGTCAGTATCCCATATGGCTTTCTGGAATTCACCCCAATACTCCTTATAAGCAGAATGTGGTAACTTAACAGAGAACTTTGATGTGATGTGCCATATGCAAAGTCGATGAAATGTAGTCGGGAAGGCTATTGAAATCGCTCTGCTCATTGCCGCATCTTGATCTGTGATGATCGTTTTAGGTTCGCCACCTGGCATGGCTTTCTTAAACTCCTCAAACATCCAAATAAACGACTCAGTCGTTTCCTTGCTCAAAATGCGCATGCTAGGACAATTGTTTGACCATGGTTATTAACTCCCAACATTGGTGCAAATGTCAAGTCGTATCTATTCGTGTTGAATGTGGTATCGAATACAACAACATCTCCATAAAACCCGTACGCCCGTCTAGAAGTTGCATCTGCCCAAAAACATCGACTAAACCTGTTATCGCCATCTCCCTCAATCTTGAAATAAAAAGCCTCATTTTTTTTCTGTTCAGCCATAAAATACTCGGTCACTAGTTCAACATCGTGGTTCCTCAGCTTCTCATTCACACTACATTCAAGATTGTACATATCCTTTTTGATAAAACCGATTTTATCCATTCCTCCGGATTGCACCTCGAAAATACTTACCTTCTGATTAATGGGAATATTAACCGAACCCAACTGTTTTGTAAGTACTTTTGTAGAATCTGAAATACGACGGTGTGATCTCAGTAAATGCATTCTTCCTGAGGGTGTCATCTTATGATTGTGTCCCTCTGCAAAAGAGAGATGGTATACTTCTTGCTCCCATGTGTCTTCACAACCACAATCTTAGCTTTGCAATTGCATCTACTTATTCCCCGCTGTCTTTTTCTCTCCCGAGTTTCATCATTCCGGTATGCACCTTGTTTGCAACATACAAATTCTTTTCTCAGAATCTCTTTCTTATTTTTCCCCCAAAAGCTGGAATGAAGTCGAATACCAAAGCCAGCCAAGAATGCATATCTATTATAGAAATTATAAACGAGGTCAAGCGAGTCGAACTTCATCCCAACTGCTGGTGTTTCCTCATTTCTTACTTCAGGAATGTAAACCCTCCCATTAGCTATTACAGAGTCATCACTCTCTGAGCCCCCAGACATTTTATCCACGTATATTATTGATCTACTTCTATATTACTGCATAGCAAATGTTAATTCATTAATCAATCATTACTGCATCACAACTTATCAATGCATTCCACTTACACAAAACATTGCCCAAATTGACACAATACACGCATAGCTTAGCTTGTTGGATTCTGATTACAGAAAACACAAGCAAAATTTAATAATAATTACGTCATCTCTTGTGAAATAATCTGGAAAAAATAACCTTAGAACCAACATGTTCAACTAAGAACTCAAATGTAATTCAAACCAGCAATTACAGAACTTCACCCAATATCCTCTCCAAATGCTTACTTCTAATGCCATTAAGCCTAAGTTTAGGATCTTTTACCTACATTTCATAATTTTCCAATCCCCCTCCAAACAAAAATAATCAACTAAGTATATTGAATATTCATAAGGAAATGACGCATTATTGATAGCAGAGCAAATGACGCATTATTGATGCCGCAAATGACAAATTTCTCACCCTCATAAAAAACAAATCAAACCCAGCAAAATCAATCCAGCAAGAGTGAACTTACCTCTCAAAGTCAAATGACGCATTATTGATAGCAGAGCAAATGACGCATTATTGATGCCACAAATGACAAATTTCTCACCCTCACAAAAAACAAATCAAACCCAACAAAATCAATCCAGCAACAGTGAACTTACCTCTCAAAGTCAATCGGGAGTTCCGAACTCAGTCAGCTTCAAAGAATGTGGTGGACATTAGAGAGGATTCTTTCGTAGTGGAGACTCCATCTCTACCAAAATCCAGGAACAACTGCAGCAGCACGAAAAAGAGATATGCTACTTTGCTTTCATCTGGAATCTCTTCTGCTGAACGAAAAAGAGAAGGGGTTTCACTTCAATCATAGAATCAAAACAGGGCAATAGCTAGGTAAAAGCCATTAATCATCATACCGAGGATACCATAGATCGCAGGCCTCCCAAGGAGCTGATGACAATGGAGCGATTATAGAGTTTGGGAGCTTTGGATCTTTCTAATTGTGGATTTGCATTACATTAAAAAAGAGAGGATTGTGTTCTTGAGTTTTTCACAGAGAGGGAAAAATCTTCAGCTGAAGTTGGGTTTCCAAACGGGTCAGATTTCAACCCGGTTCTACATGCACCCTCTTTTAAAAACTCACCGTTGGATGAAATCCAACGGCTCTTACATACCCCTCAAAAAAACCCCTTATAACTTTCCACTCACTATAGAAGCACTCTGTATAGGGAGGGGGGGAATTTTAGGCAGACTGAAATCTTGGGCGCTATTTGGCCCAGCTTTCCAGTCCAGGCGGAACTGTTGTGGGGCCCAACTCGCATCAAACCAAGCAACCACGTGAAGACCCCAGCTACATGGACCACTTGTTGCCAACTTACCCATGCTGCCTGCGCCACTTGTCAAGCCCTGAACAATTATATGTTTCAATCCAATGGCTGCATTAAGTTGCTGTGTCAATTTTGTTTTTGTTTTTGTTTTTCATTGTACATATAATCAATGGCCAGCATATTTTTAAGCAATCTCAATGGGAAAAATTCACATCCAATGGTTGAAATTTAAATCCAATGGCAAAATTAATTTTTATAATTACTCTAAATCAAATTCAACCCAAAATAATTTTGTGATTATCATTTATCTTAATTGTAATTATGGTTTATCTTAATATGTTTTGATTTTTAAGTGAAATTATATTATGTTTTGGATTTTGGATTTTTTTAGGTTAAAATGTTCATAAAATTAAATCATGAATGTTGAAATAAAAATAATGTGAAGAAAAATTAACCCAAAAAAAAATAGAGGTTAATCATTTTTAAACAATTTAATAAAGTTATGGACTCAAATTATGAGTATGCATGGTTGGAGGAAAAAATAATTTGAGTCCGGGCAATACATGAATAGTTGTATTTCTAAGGGGAGAAATTTGGGTTTAGCCCCATTTGGGTTGAAGATGGCCTAATAGCTGTTTTTACGGACTGTTCTACTATCAGTCTCTAAAAAAGGGTCCCTATTGCCCAAATTTCTAGTAGTGCATATCATGTGTCACATATGTTGGTATTTATAATTGATAAATAAGTTGGTGCCCGTAGCGTTATTGCATTTATTATTATTATTTGGGGTGATGGTGCGAATGGAGCACTTTTTTTCCCAAATTCAAGGGATGCTAGAATAAAATCATTTTTTGTAAAAGGAAGTCTTGACTAATTAGGACAAAGTATTTCAATTATAATTAATTAAACCTTCCTCTCTTTAGTTGGTAATTCACTTTCTAGACCACCGCGTTTTCTTTTTCTTTTTTTATTTAATTGATTTTCGTTTTTGCTGATGGGCCCCGTTTTATTTAAAGATCTATTCATAGCCGTCCCCAGTTGTATCGATACATCTAATCTAAATTTAAAACTGTTGTATGGCTTTGAATCTTTTTTTCTATTATTTTTAATCTATGACCATTAGCAGGTTTTAAAAAGGCAAAAATTCATTTCTAGTCCTGTAATTTCTCGGTTTTACCACTTGGGTCCTTATAGTTTCAATTGCACTTTACTTATATTTTATTGACACAATTGTTTGGACATAAGAGTTCCAAAAACTTGTAAAGTGGATCTTTAATACCGTAGATTACAAGCTTTGGATTCTCATTTATCGTATTTTGCACCATGATTACAAGTTTAAAGTTCTTCATAATTTATAATCTTGTAATAACCTAATTTAGAATAGAAAGGACCCCCTTACAATGTTAGGGGAATGGTGGACTTCGGAGAAGTACATGTTGTCCTTATTCTTGTAAACACAAAGATTTATAACATTAAGGACCACTTTTACAATGTTTTGGGTCATTTTAGTATATTTAAGGGCAGTTTTAGAAAGCTGGCCCAATGGGCTAAGGATGTCGAATTTGAACGGGGTTCGTCAAGGGTTTCGAGGGAGAATTCGGGATGGGTCTTGTCAGTCATCAATTTGACCAGGGAATCCACTATTTTCAAAAGGAATTCAATAGAGAGGCAACAATAGAAGCTCAAAATCAAATGGACACTCTAAGTGGCAGGTTGTACCTCAGAGCAACTCCACTCACTCAGGTTCATATGCCACTCAATTGGGTCTTTATTTAGACTTCGAAAAATAAATTTGAACACCTTAGCATGGTAACAAAAATTAAATAAAACTTTTCCCCTTAAGAGGCTTTTTATTTAGACTTCGAAAAATATAAGAAGATTTCAAAAGCACAATGCTGAAATCTTATTTCAAAACCATGAACACTGTCGCATAAAAAATGCTAGACAAGTGGTTAGGTAAAACGGAAAACCTACAGCTTGAAATTGATTGAACTCACAGGAGAACAAAAAAATAATTGGCACTACTACAAAAAAGGAAAAACACGACGGGAATTCACCGTCGTGTATTCTGTTTTCAAATGGTCGTGGAATCCACCGACATCTTTTCCATAACAAACCACGACGGTGAATAACCGTCGTTGTTAAAACAAAAAACGTCATCAAAAAATAAAAACCGACGTCTTTGTACTGCAAAAAGACATAAAAAAACAGTCGAGGATGAGAATAGACGACCAACTCCAACAAAAAACCGTCGTTAAAAAGGAAACATATGACATATATTAACAGAACATGGCCGCAAGATAAACATACAACGACGAGAACTAAAACTTAACGCCGTTAAATAAATCTTTAACGACAAATAGAAATATGACGTCTTTACAATCATAATAGACGACGTTATTGACACCTACTACGTCACATCATTTCCAACAACCGTCGTAAAATAAATTTTCCACTTCGATTTTTCTATGAATTATGACGTGGAAATAGATGTCAGGGTCATTACTTACGACGCATGTATTTACAGAGACGACGTTGAAATGAATAAACAACGTCGGTTCCAAATAAATGAGAGCCGTATTACAGAATTTATACGTCATATTTTGAAATATAATCGTTGTGTAATGACTCTGAAACGGCATCGTTTCTAATTCCACCGCCGTGTAAAATAATTTTAACGACAGGATCTGAAAATAAACGACGTGGAAAAAATGATGGGGTCATTAATTACGACACATTAATTTATAAGGACGACGTTGTCGTCTATATACAACGTCGTTACCATGAAAAAGACCGCCGTGTTTAATAGTTTCTACGTCTTCATTAAAAAAATTAACGTCGTCTAATTCATATATCTTAACGTCGACAAATTTAATGGACTTCAAATACCGTCGTGAATTCATCCTTTTCCACTTCGTTTATGAAAGAACATGCGACGTGGTAAATTCATGACGACGTCGTCTTTTGTAACGTTCAGGTTAAAGATCTCGTCTTTAAGACGTCGGTATTATGGGATTGGAGTCGTGTTATTTTGAATTACATGGCGGTTCTTTATGCTTGTCCGACGTGTTATCCTGGATAACTGTTTCACAATAGCGTCGTGGTTCTTCATTGTTACGTTGCTTTAAGACGTCGGTAAATATATTGCGGTCGTTGAATGCTCCAAAACGTCGTTATTTATTAGAACAGACGTTTGTTTTTCACATTTTTATCAAAACCGTCGTGTTTGTAATCTGGAACCAGTAATTTTTGTACTGATTGTTTTGTGGCCAAAACCTGTATAATGAAAGTGAAGAAATCACATTACAATATATTACAAAATTAATGTCATACACTGCCAATTACATAAAGCATCATTCAACCCATATATCTTCACACCCATCTCGAATATTTTGACTCCCTAACTCAACCACCACTTCATCAAATGTGTCAACATTTGGCATCCCTCTAGTAAATGGCTCACACTCAATTCTCACATCACCTAAGACATCATCACCAATAACATCATTATATTCTCTATTAGGCATTGATAACACTACCGACCAACCACGATGCATCGGGTCGTCAACAAAAAATACTTGTTTGACTTGAGAAGCCAAAACAAATTGGTCATTCCTATGTCCAATTTTACTCAAATCTACAAGGGTAAATCCAAGTTCGTCCACTACAAGACCAGAAGTATTATCTATCCAATCACACCTAAAGACTGGGATTGTAAACTTTTGGTAGTCAAGGTCCCAAATTTCTTGAATGACACCATAGAAACCCATATTTGAGAGAATTGGGTTTTTATCCTTGGCACTAGCAACTTGCATAGTATGTGCAAGTAAATAAACTCCACTATTTTGAGTTGTCCGCACATCATCTTGTGCCTTGATGTTGAATTTAATACCTTTAATAAGATAGCTCCTATATAATGGCACTGCCATGTTTGGACCAGCTGCTAGCCACCTTAAATTTTCTGATACGCCATGATTGTCTTCCTCATTAAGTTCACTTTGAACCTGCAAATTAATCATAACTTAATTCAATCTAACATAGAAAGAAGAAAATTAAAAGTCCAATATGTTATTCAATAACATATACCTTGAAGCGTAGCCATTGAATGAAAGTGCTATTGTGCTTATCCTGCAGCCACTTTGTTCTCTTTCTAAATTTTGGATAAGCGGTCTTGATGTGGATCATATGTTGCCTACATGACACAAAAAATTCAAGTATTACGGTCCCAAACATATAAGATAAACATAAGAAATAATTTAAAATGGAAACTTAAAGAATAAAACTCATACGTACTCGATATAAGGTAGGACTTCCTCCGTATTCTCCAAGACATATAGATGTGCTTGGTTCAACAGGTCCCGATCAATACGCTCACTGTGCAACCTGAAATGGCTTTGAAACTCCCATCTTTTGGCTTGAAGGCACTCCAATGTACTAACCATCAGATAAATGCTCGGACAAAACTCTACAGCTTCTTCGCTATATACCGCTCAGGCAATGCAACCTTCGGGTAACAAGTACGATTCTGAACTACCCCTTTAGCACTTTCAATATCTTTTGCAAATGGATACATCCATCGAAAATCTACTGGCCCACATAGACGAACTTCTCTGACAAGATGTATTACTAGAGACCATGATATCAAAAAATGAAGGGGGAACGTACTTCTTCTCAAGCAAACACAAAAAGTACTACTACATCCTTCTTCCAACTTATCTAGCTTGGAAACATCAACAGTCTTTGCACATATAGCACATATAGCATAGATTGAGAAGCACAAACGAGTTATTGCATACCTTGCAGGCTTCTCCAAAACAGAACGAATTGCCACAGGGAGCAATTGTTGCATTAAGGTATGACAATCATGTGATTTAAGGCCAAGAAGTCTTGAATCTTGTAAAGATACAAGATTTTTTATATTTGAAGAATAACCTTCAGGGACCTTCATACCATAGAAAGAATTGCAAACCTCTCTCTTCTCTGCTCTTGACAAATTCCAAGGCCCGGGAGGCAAACGAGTACGTCTTTCTCCATACTCGGGTTGCAAATCAGTTTTGACCCCCATGTTCAATAAATCTAATCAAGCAGCAATCCCATCTTTATTTTTTCCAGGGATCTCCAGCAATGTACCAATGATACTATCGCAAACATTCTTCTCAATGTGCATAACATCTAGGACATGCCTCACAGGAAGGTATTTCCAATACTCGAGATCAAAGAATATTGATTTCTTCTTCCAACAAACTCTGTCACCATCTTCAACCATATGCAACACTTCTTCTCCGGTTAATGGCTCGGGAGGCGTGCCATATTCAGGTTTCCCATTAAAAGATGCACGTTGCCTCCTATATGGATGATTGATTGGTAACCATTTTCTATGCCCAATGTAACAAATTTTGTGGCCATTTTTTAACCTGTGACTAGGTGTATCATCGCCGCATATTGGACAAGCTTTATATCCTTTAACAACACAACCAGATAAGTTTCCATAGGCGGGGAAATCATTAATTGTCCACATTAATGCAGCTCTGAGTGTAAAGTATTCTCCATTATGTGCATCATACACTCCTCCAATCCCATCCCACAAAGATTTTAAATCATCAATCAAAGGCTCCAAGTAGACGTCTATATCATTTCCAGGCTGTTTAGGACCGGAAATCAATAAGGTCAACATCATGAACTTTTGTTTCATGCACAACCATGGAGGGAGATTATATGTAACTAAGATAACTGGCCAGCAACTATATCTGCTACTTAGAGAACTGTGGGGATTGAATCCATTAGATGAAAGAGCCAATCTCAAGTTTCTCGGCTCATTACAAAACTCGGGCCATTTATCATCAAGAAGTTTCCAAGACGGGGAATCCGCCGGATGAGACATATGACCGTCAATTGATTTTCTAGCAGCATGCCAAGTCAAACTCTTAGCTGTCTCATGTGATCGAAACATCCTTTTAAACCTTGGAATTGGAGGAAAATACCACACCACCTTCGCTGGCACACCCTCTTTCAAGATTGAATCTTTGCCTTCCTTCCACCTTGAGATACCACAAGTAGGACAATTAGTTGAATCCTCATACTCCTTCCTATACAAGATGCAATCATTGGGGCATGCGTGCATTTTCTCATAACTCAGCCCCAATGCACACAAAGTCTTTTTTGCCTCATACATAAAGGCCGGTATTGTATTTCCTTCTGGAAGCAAATCGCCTTGAAGTATCAATAATTTTGTAAAACAGACATCACTCATCCCATGTTTTGCCTTCAAATTATACAACTTCACTAATGCCGATAACTTCGTGTACTTTCTACAACCAGGGTACAATGGTTGATCTCCATCCCCAATCACATTGGCAAACTCATAAGGATCAGATCCAAAATCACCAAAATCATTATCATCCATCTCTATTTCTTCAGACACAAAACTGTACCTACTATGGTCATCATCTTCTTCAACATTTCTACTAGCATTAGTGGTTGCTTCCCAAGGTTCTCCGTGAAATGTCCAATTCTTATAGCTTTGGTCAACTCCATTAAAGTATAAGTGATCCCTTATAATTCCAACCCCAAACAATTTCAAATTAACACATTTAACACATGGACAACGGATATGTGTTGTAGTTAGAAGATTTTCTACAGAAAAGTTCAAAAATGCTTCCACCCCTAACTCATATGCCTTCGATCTTCTATCCGAGTGCATCCATGACTTATTCATCTCCGACACTATACCCTATTATATATAATAAAGTGAAAAGACAAGCAATGACCATCACTACAGCAGATTATATAAAGTTCTAATAGCAAGTAATATACAACAGAGACGACGGTTTTTAAACAAAAACAGACGTATTTGACATATATAGACGACGGATTTTCAACAAACGTCGTCTACTTATAACCACGACGGTAGTTAAATAACACCGTCGTGTATAAGTAATACAAACGACGGTTTAAAGTAAAAACCGTCGTCGTATGCCTAAAAAAGCGTCGGTGTCCCAGTTTATTTTCAAGATCCCAAAACCCTATTAAGAACACAACATATACATGAAACCAAGCATGAAACCAACATATACTAAGCATGAAAACAATAAATCCATTCCCAATTCAACATAACAGAGAGTGATTAAAAGATCCGACAAAATGAAATCCATTCCCTATTCAACATAACAGAGAGTGATCAAGAAAACATTAAACAGAAAATCCATGAACCCATACCTCCAACAACATTATTAACAGATCGCAAAACATATATCTAAAACCCTTTAACAAAACAACATAATATCATTCAATGAATTTACAAGGGGAAGTGAGGGTTTGTACTTACAGGTTGGCAGAGCTCACAGATTATGGCCAAATTGGATTCGACACAGCTTGGAGAGCCCAACTTTGAATTAGAGATGAAGTGAGAGAGCGAAATGTTATGTTGCGCGAAATCTGAAAATTTTAGGGTTCAGGGTTAGAAGTATAAAACTAAGAGCCAAATCTGAAAATTTAGGTCCCGCGAATATTTTTAGAAAGTGCGCTCTTTAAAACATCGACCGAAAAAACAACCGTCGTTAAAATTTCACATTAAACATGACGCTTATTACATTAAGGACGTCGTGGTAAAACTGTGTACGACGCAAAATCAAACAGAAGTCGTCAAAATTATGAAAAACCACGTCAGGGTTAAGTAATTAACGACGTTGTAAATAATAATAAACGACTCACGTGTAAAAAGGACATGGTTTAAAAGAGAAACCGTGGCGGATTTTTCACTATACGACGTAAACTCAACATTCCACGACTCAATCACCGTCGTTAAAAGTAATACCCTAAACTTTAAAACCCTAAATTATATATTTGTAAAATATAATTTTATAAAATTGTTTATGGTTTTACAGCCTAATATATAACAAACATAAACCCTAAACCCCAAAAATTATACTTTAACCCTAAACCCTAATAAATAACAACCCTAAACCCCAAACCCTAACCCATAAACCATCAAACTATATAAGTGATGTTATGACTCATGAAAACAATTTTATTTTGGGTGGTCATTTTAAACTTTTATTACTCAAACTGCATTTTTTTGAGGTTTAGGGGGAAGAAAATATATCAATGACTTCATAGGAGTTGACATTGCATTTTTTGGATTTATTTTAAATTTATTTTGAATATTTTGAATGAAAAATAATAAAATATTCTTTTATCAACAACAAACCACGTCGGGGTTAAGTAAATAACGACGTTGTAAATAGTAATAAACGACTCACTTGTAAAAAGGACGTCGTTTAAAAGAGAAACCATGGCGGACGTTTAAAACACGTCGTCTGATAATAATTTAAACGACGGTAATAAAAAACCGTCGTGTTAAATAATTTATTACGTCATAGAAAACAAATTCCGACGTCTAATTTGAAAACAAACGACGGTTTTAAAGAAAAATATCGCCGTCTGAAATTTGAAAAACAAATAAAAAAGGCAAAGTTATGAGAATATACCTCTTCGTCATGCTTTTCTTCATCTTGTGTTTCTTCTTTCTTCTCTTCATCATTTTTGTCTTCCTTTTTGTCTTCATCTTTTTTCTCTTTTTTTCTTCCTTCTTCTCTTCATCTTTTTTTCTCCCTTCTTCTCTTCATCTTTTTTTTCTTCTTTCTTCTCTTCATCTTGATTTTCTAAAGCCCCAGATTTCTGTTTTCAGTAATAAAGAAATATATATATATGACAGATTGTACAGAAAGTAAAAAATTATTAAACGTTGGTAAATAATAAACGTCGTGGGATTTGTCTATTACGTCGGTAAGGACTAAAACCGTCGTCTAAAAACCACAAAGTACGACGTCTAATGGCGTGTAAAACAAGTAAACTAAATACGACGTGGTATTTAAATAAAAACGACGGTTTATTTATAAAATCGTCGTGGTATGGTTTTAAAACGACGGGTTTCTTTATAATAACGACGTCTAATAGTTTTTAAAAAAACAGAGAATTCAAAGTTCAGATATGTTACCGTTTCTTCCTGTTGTTCCCCATTTTTGGCAGTATCATCCTCTAAATGTAGGGATCTCACATCAGCCCCAGAACAGCTTGCTTTGTCAGACATTGGATTTTTGGGACTTTGCTCTACACCTTGGTTTTGACAGGGGCTAGTTTTCGGTTTAAGCATGCTTGGATCAAAATTGGGGATGAGTTGGGAAAGCTGACTTAGTAAATGTTCCCTCTCAGCCTCTACCAATTGCTTGGTTCTAGCCTCCATCCTTAAAGTCTCTTCCCTTGATCTAGCTTCCATCTTCTTAGTCTCTTCTTGAAGGACAATTCTTACACTTTCCTTCAATTGATCGGCAAACTTTACCCTCTGTTGTCTAGGTAAATTGAAGAATTGCCTAGGGGAAATCCCAGCACCTACCCCTCTTACTCTCCCTGGATGCTCGGGACCCAAAGCCAAGGTCAACACATCATTACTGCCAGATACACTAAGACTGCCTTCAGCCACTTGTTTTTGCAATTCATCCTAAAACAAAGACATATAAAAAAGTCAGCACAAGAAAACACACGACGGTTATTTATAAACAAACGACGCATTATATAATTTCACACGACGCAATAATATAGAAATCGACGTTATAATATATTTATAACGACGTGGTTAGTTGTTTCAAACGACGCAATAAATAAACCACCGACGTCTTATGATATAATTACAGAAAACATAGCAGTGATTCCATATTCAGACCTTTAACGACGTTTTTAAAACATTTGGACGTAGTAATATCATTCACACGACGCAAAAATTAACCACCGACGCCTTATGCTATAATTAAAGAAAACAGAGTTAGATCTTTCACGACGTTTTTTAAAACATTTCAACGTAGTAATATAATTCACACGACGGAAAATATAACATAAGACGTAATAAGAATTATACACAGTTTAATAAAAATTTAAAACAGAGTGTGTAGGCTTACCATTAATTTTGCTTTCTCTACCACCTTTGGATCCGGGATGTTACCATGTTTGTCCTGTCTAGCTTTCTTCCATAAGGTAGATCGATCAATTTCTACCCCAGGCATGGTTTCCTCCAATTGATCCTCCAAACCAGCATATCTTTTTCGAGGCAATCGATGATTGTACTCAAGTTTCTCCCTAATCTGTGAATGTTGAGAATGCACACACTCAAATTCTTTGGATAACCTTGAAGCTACAAAGGCATCCCATTCTGCTTTCTCTATGAATTTATATATTTCAGGGGGTTGGCTTAATTTCTCCCTCTCCTTGATGTATGGAAGGATATAATGCCTCGTTAGTGTAGACTTGAAATCCTTCCATTTCTTGGCAGCAAAGATAACACCGAGGTCTTGCCCCCTTGACCTACCACAAAAGCCATGTCAACGGCTTCCCAAATCTGCTCCTTTATATCCTTGGGGATTTCAGCCCATTTCTTGTCCACAAGTGGGACTCTGGAGGGTGCCAACACACCAATGTAGGACTGCATCTCAGTATGTGCAGGGCCACATCCTTTCCCCCTTTTATTGTACTCAACAACTGGCTTGATTTTCTGCAATTTTCTCTTCACAACACGAGGCATTGTGCTCATACCTCGACCTGACTTTGAATCCTCAGAAATTGTTGTCGTGCTGGTTGGTTCTGTCTCAGCAGATGAAACAAACTTCATCTTCTTCAAGGGCTTGTCTTGAGGAGTTACCATTCCAAGCTCCTTACCTCCATTTTTTTTGGAGCCAGAGTCCTTACTTTGGTCTTGAGAAACCATGGTTACAGAAAAAACAAACCTGCAAGTGAAAATATTTCAGGAAAAAAATAAGAACACAAACGACGGTTATTTATAAAATACGACGTATGATAAGATTTTACACGACGTAATAACATAACATCAGACGTAATAAATGTTTTAAACGAGAGTACTTAAACAACGACGAAACAATATTAAAGAAGACGTAATAAGAACTTATTACGGCGATATTTACACGACGTCGTGATATTCAAATTCACACGACGTAAATATTAATATAACGTCGTGTTATGGATATTCACACGACGTAAATAATAAGATACCGTCGTCTTTATAAGAATCCAAAAACCTTTTTCTTTCTCTGTGAATGTTTGATTGCAGGTTTAATTTCTCTGAAACATGGTTTTTGTTTTTCCTAATTTGATAAAATACAAAGAAAAAGAAAGAAAGGTTTGGCATCTTTTATAGACGACGGTATCTTAGTATAACGTCGTGGTATGAACATTCACACGGCGTCAATAATAAGATACCGTCGTCTATATAAGATACCAAACCCTACTTTCTTTGTCTTTGTATTTTATCAAATTAGGAAAAACGAAAACCATGGTTCAGAGAAATCAAACCTGCAATTAAACAAGCAAATAAAAAATCGACCGTCATTTTAAAAACAACTTAGATCAATTTTAAGACGACGCTAGGACGACTGACGAACCGTCGTGGTCTACAAATTTAACCACGTAAATAAGAAGCTACCGTCGTCTTATTTAGTTGAAGTAGTTGTGTTCAAAGTTGGAAACTTTCCCTCTTTGTCTGTGTATTTTATCAAACTTGGAAAGCATAAAAATGATTTTCGCCAGAAAAAAGGTAAAAAGATTTTCAAAACAAAAACCGTATGAGCATGCAAAATAGCAACAAAAATAGTGAGAAATGAAAGCTTACCTTTTGCGTGCAATGAAAGCTTTCTCTCGGAGTTTGGTGTTTAAGTTCAGAGACGACGACGAAGACGAGAGGAAGACGATTAGATACTCTGACAGTGCTCTGACAAGGAAAAAAGACGAAAAGTTTTCTCTGGGAGATTGAAATTTTTTCTCGGGTTTGGAAACAGTGCATGTGTAAGTCAGGTAGACGAAAAGTTGTATGTATATACAAACCGTTTCATAGTAATAAGACGGCGGTTTACATAGAACAACGACGTATAAATAGACAAACTACGACAATAATTTGAACTTAGGACGTGGTAAATAAATACGACAGTAGTGTTGTAGGTACCGCCGTAGTAAACTCCTAAATAAAAGTCGATAAATCAATATCTCGCGTCATGGTAGAAGTATTTAACACGACGATGTTTTGTAATTTACCGACGTTTATTTTTATAATATACGTCGTTTTTTTTAATATACCGACGTGGAATTTATAAATAGACGGCGGTTTTGTGTAAGGACCGCCGTGGGTTTTAAAAATTTATTGTATAAATTTGTCGCTTTCTTTCAGTTTCAGTTTTCATTTAGGTTTCCAAGTTCTTCCTCTCTCACAGACACTCTCTCTCACATCTCGAAGACAATAATTTGGATGTCTTTCTCAAAGAGAAATGGAGCTTACTCTCCAACAAATCTATGTCCACAAGAGGAAGCTTGTCAATCCTGACAGGAGACTTAGTGCTTCTGAATACTCCTTGCTTTCCATCAAAAGAGATGCAAGCCTGGCCTCCACTCGCTGTCGAAGGAAAGTTCGCTTCTCAGGGAAACCTGAAGATCAGATGTTAGCCTCTGTTCGATTTTCTTGGCTAAGAAGATCCGTCAGGTTTGTGATAGAAGAAGATGGGTTATCGGCATTAGTGAAGAAGATGGGTTATCCGTAGAGCTTCTGAAGAAGAAGATGGGTTTTCAACAATGCGATAAAGAATAGAAATGGCTTCAGATGGCCTCTAAAGCCTGAGCAATCGAATCAGATGGCTTCAGCTGTCAATGCTTTGAACTAGCCAAGTCCTGCAGAAAGAGAACGATTAAAGAAATTGAAACAACGACGGTTTTCTGTTCTACCGTCGTCTTTTTTAAACTAAGACGACTCAATATTTTTTCGCGACGTGGATTCGTTTTAAAACGTATTATGTGTAATATAACCGACGTGGATTTTATTTTTATAATTATAAATAGAATTTTTTTTCCCTTGTTCTTTTAGTTTATTTTTCAAAAATAGTGCCTTATAAATAGAGTTTTTTTTCCCGAGGAAATTAATGTTCTAGAATTTGTAAAGTTTCTTTTTTGGGTGACTGATTTAAATCAAACACAATATAAAAACAACGACTGTTTGTTGTTATACCGTCGTCTTTTTTAAGTTAAAACGACGCATTATTTTTTTCGCGATGTGGATTCGTTTTTAAAACGTCGTTATGTGTAATATAACCGACGTGGATTTTATTTTTATAATTATAAATATATTTTTTTCCCTTGTTCTTTCAGTTTATTTTTCAAAAACAGTGCCTTATAAATAGAGTTTTTTTTTCCCGAGGAAATTAATGTTCTAGAATTTGTAAAGTTTCTTTTCTGGGGGACTGATTTAAATCAAATACCAATATAAAAACAACGACTGTTTGTTGTTATACCGTCGTCTTTTTAAACTAAAACGACGCAATATTTTTTTCGCGACGTGGATTCGTTTTTCAAACGTCGTTATGTGTAATATAACCGACGTGGATTTTATTTTTATAATTATAAATATAATTTTTTTTCCCTTGTTCTTTCAGTTTATTTTTCAAAAACAGTGCCTTATAAATAGAGTTTTTTTCCCGAGGAAATTAATGTTCTAGAATTTGTAAAGTTTCTTTTCTGGGTGACTGATTTAAATCAAATACGAATATAAAAACAACGACTGTTTTTTGTTATACCGTCGTCTTTTCTTGTCGTCTTAAGTAAGACTAAGACGACGTAATGTATTTGTTAACCGACGTGGATTATTTTTTTTAAACGTCGTTATGTGTAATATAACCGACGTGGATTTGGTTTTTTAATTATAAATAGGGTTTTTTTTCACGGTTGCTTTCAGTTTTAGTATTCGATTAGGGTTTCAACTTCTTCTTGCCCCTTTCTCTGTCTCACCTCATCTCTTAGGAGGCAATTGTTTGAATGTTGGTGTGTGTGTATGTTTGTGTATCTGATTCACAAACATACACACATCACCAATTTTCAAAAATTGTCTCTCTGATTGCAAATCTGTGGCTGCCGTCGTGAAGTTTTAGGAGGCAATTGTTTGGATGTTGATGTGTGTGTGCGTTTGTGTAGATACACAAACGCACACACATCATCCACTTCCAAAAAATTGTCTCTCTGATTGCAAATCTGAGGCTGCCGTCGTCAAATTTCAGAAGCAAATTTGAGGCTGCCGTCGTTTTAGGAACAGCCATTTGAATCTCCATTTTTTAGTTGTCTAATGTGTTATTACACGGCGGGTTTTATAAAACTGTCGTCTTTTAAAAAACAACGACGGTTTTTACTTAGACCGTCGTTTTCTTCTGGTCGTCTTTGTCACTTTTTGTAGTAGTGTGGCCATAACATGTGTTAAAAAATCATATAGAGGATGACCAATGATATGCACTAGTCATATAACATTCGAAAAGGCTATAAGAATTAAATCATCATATCCGACTCAAAATCTGATGAAACTCGACTAGTAAAACGATACTGTATCAACTAGGTACAAAAACACATACATTTAAATATGGTGCAATGTAATAGTTGTGTATGACTTACCTTTGCTGATGAATAATTGCAGTTTAAACCATGTTGAAACCTGTCATCAATGATGAACCTCTCTGTTCCTAAATTAAGTAATTGAGCTTGTACAAAATCGAAACAAGTGCAAGCAACATTAGATTATAGAATCTCCCCACAAACTTGGTACAAAGAAATAAAAGGCCTACAACTTTCATAATAAGAAACTACAACTTACAACTCTAAATCTTTCTGTATCCTTATGCATTGAAGAATAGACTAATTTTTTCTTTTTATTGATCTTGTCCTTCTTCAATTGGTTTATGCTAACTTCGATTCAGCTTCTTTTTCTCCCAAACTATAGGATGCAACAGGTCCTGTCTGGTGTGGTGTTGCCAAAGTTGTGATACCCAACATTGCTGGCTCCTTCACGTGCAGTAATTGTGTTGCCACAAATGTAGCGACCACCACCTTGGCCTCCGCCTTGACCTCGTACATTATGAAAGTTTGACGCCCCAACATTCTGACTGCCCGAGTCTGCTGTAATATTATTGGCACGAATCTGGGACCTTATGCTGCCTCCTCCTCCCTGATCATGCCTATTCATATTCATTTATATTAATCTCATGTCTCGCATATAACACGTATACTCTAATCTTGCTTAATAATTTTGAATAAATTCTCACTTTGCCATTGTCTTGATACTAGATTTGTATTGTAGTTTTTGCTCCTGAGCTCACAAATCCATAACATCTCTTTAATTAAAAGTAAAGTAAAATAAGTGCTTGATTCTTGCCAAGTAATCGGGCCTCTTGTCTAACCCACATTGAGGTTTGCATTAAAATGCTTTGATCTTGTACACATTGCTCCTCTTTGTAGCTTACAAAACTCGAGTTAGTACCATCCTATGGGTGATTTAACATCCAATGTCTTAAAGTCAATTGCAATGTGCTCGTTCTCAAGTCAATGGGACTTGTAGAAAGCTTGATAAAATTGAAATTTATAAAAAAAATATAAATATAAAAAAAAATTGAAAGTGGTAAGCTTTGTATGCATTTTGTATGTGTGTTTATCTTATGTTCTTGGTTGGACTTTTTCTTTGTTATTAAGCAAGTTTAGTCACATAACACAAGATTGGGCTTTGATATTTGCTCATTTGATGGAATTTATTTCTCACAAAAAGTTTTGATTCTCCATTTTATAATCCTTGTGTTTGACTAAACCTTTGTGATTGAAGTGCCTTAGATCCTGAAAGACTTTGCTTCAAATGCTTCTAGACATAGATTGGTATTGGCTCTACTTGTCTATCCTTATGCATAGTGTTGGCACATACTCATAATTTTTTTTTACATGTATGAAGGAGTCTTGGTATAATGTTGAGCATGGTTGTTGGCGTTTAATTATGGTATTTTTATTTTTGTGTTTCAGTTTATACCCATATTTTCATCTTCTTTTTTTGGGTGCTATAACTGTCTTCATCCTGACATATCTTTAGGGGCAGAGTTATTGTTCAAGTGCACAAGGTGATATGATCATGTTTATTGTTTTTCTTTAAGTGGTGTGTTTTATTTTTGTTAGCCGTAGGGGTGGGCACGGTCCGGTTTGGACCGATTTTAGTTATAAAAAAAAATGAAACCCGAACCGAAAATAAAGAACGATTTAGTTTGGACCAGTTTTGTTTAAAATCCATACATAAATCCTTGGACCGATTTTTAGTTAAAAAAAAAATTGAAACCCAAACCGAAAATAAAGAACGATTTAGTTTGGACCAGTTTTGTTTAAAATCCATACATAAATCCAAACCAACCTGAACCTGCTCGGTTCTAGTTCAATTCTTGCGGTTCCGGTTTGGGCCTAGGCCCAAAATATTATTTTATAATTTTTTACAAACCTGCCCAAAATGTATTTATATACTAACATACCCAAATTTAGCTTCAATCAAGTTTCAACACATCACAATGAATTCAACTTCAACAAAATACAATTCAATTCAATCTAACTTCAACAACATACACTACTACATTTTACGATTTGCGCGACGAAGAGAATTTCTTCACTCAAAGTTACTTTTAGTTGCACAAATTTCAGCTCGACAGAAAATTCGTTGCGCACAATCCGTCAGGCAAAGAGCGCGAAGAAAGACTTTGCGCGACCAAGTTTTTCCATTTGTCATGCAAAACTGAGCGACGGGTTAACCTTCGTTGCACAAAAGGTTTAGGGACGACACAATTGTTCGTCTCACAAACCTTTGCGCGACGAACGCATGTTTGTCTCACAAACCTTTGTGCGACGAATACTATCCGTTGTGCAATTCGTGTTGCAACTATTTGCGAGACAATTTGTATTTGTCGTGCGTTTCGTGTCACCAAAGTTTGCGCGACGATTATAGTTGCGCGACGAAATCGTCGTCATCGCGCATGTCTTTTTCGTGAGACGAAAGTCTTCATCGCGCAAGAATAAAATATATTTATTTAAAATGTAATTTGACAGTTTTTATTTTGTAAAATGTGAATTTGCGTGACGAAAAAAGTTTCGTCGCGCAAATTCACATTATATATTATTTAAATTTAATTTTACATTTTTTTATTTTGTAAAAAAATAAATTTGGTTTTTTTTTGGCAATAAAATGAAATTGCAATAAAGAAATGTAACGAGATAACAAAAAATTATATAAAATAATATAAATGTATACTACAAAAGAAATGTTTTAAAATACAATTATGAAAGTAAAAAACTAACGAACAAAGTTCCAAAATCTACTTTGTCGTCAAGCAGATGCGGCTCGGAGGTCTGGACATTGTCCACAGCAAGGATTAAAATATCGGCCGTGAAGATATTATCGGGCCTCCAATTTACGGATATTTCGGGGGATATATCGTTATCGTTTTAGGTATCGTGAAAAAATCAACAAAAATAACAGATATAGGCATTGAAACACATAATTTTGGTGTAAAACTTTCATAGATGCTATATACATTATTAATGAATGTGTTGAACAAATAAAAGTCAAAATTTACTAATAATAAGATATACATATGATGAAATATAAGTTGTATGTAATGCGCGTAAATGATAAGTTTGAAATAAAATGTTAATTAGAATGAATAAACCATGCATAAATCCATAGTTTGTTTAAACATTGGATTACAATTTAAATAAGTGTCCGTCTACATAAATGAAGAGTTCCTATGAGGTTCAAACAATGAGGAACAACCATCTAGATTCATACAATAGTCATACCAAGTCATGTAACCCGAGCAGTTTATAAGCTATGTTTGAACATGGTGCACATAGGTCTCTCTTGAGCTCCCTATTGTCTTCCCATATATGGGATAGTTAGGATTAACTAACTAGTAGGTCCATAATCTTTTTATCATCTTGAGCTCCATAACTAGTTCCACTATAATCAGACATGACATAACCATAGCCAATATAAGATTCATTTGAGTTAGTACTAGGTCTAGTTCATATGCTCATAGATCCAAAACTGATTGCCATGTCCTCTTCAGATGGATTGGAGGTATGTGGGCAGTGGACTATGCATATTTTCTTCATATTAATAAATTATAGGGTTATGGGCAAGGATTAGTTATTTTTGGGTTTCAATTTGCTTCAATTGCCTTCAAAACTTTTGAATTTTTTTTGGGTTCTGTTATGGGTATCGGGAAATATCAGGTATATCGGCAAAATATTGGGGATATCGCACTTATCAGGGATATATTGTCGATACAGTGGAAGATATGGCCTTACCCCCCAATATCGGTGTTGACAGTTGAAAATACAGATATATCGGTGTATCGGCCGATATTTCAATCATTGGTCCGCAGGGGCAGAGGTCTGGTGGCCATACTCGGGGTGGACTGGCTCGGAGGTAGACGCATCAATTGCGGGACTGGAATGCCGGACCGGGCGAGGGACTGCAGAATCACTAACATCTGGCCCTGAAGCTCGGCCACCTTTGCTGTCAAAGCAGTCACCTGATTGTTTGACTGCGCTGATGAATGGGGTCTAGGTTCCCTCCGCCGGGCATTCCCCATCCCTCGATAATATGTCCCCGGCCTTCTCGAGGTTCCCTCCGCCGGGCATTCCCCATCCCTCGACAATATGTCCCTGGCCTCCTCTTGAGAGTCTGATCCAACGTCTTCGTCAATATCTGAAACCCAGCATCTTGTGGAGGATCCACAGACTCGATCGGAGTATCGGGAGGAAGTTGGGAGGCGGACTCCTAAAGAACTAACTGGCTCTTCTCCACGATCGTCGTATGTTTAACATAACACAAAATATAAATTAAAACATTCATATAATAACCCTGAAACTTGAATGCGTAACATAAAAATTAAAATTAAATAATACTTACATGAAGGGACTCGGTTAACTCATTCCTAGGTTGAACATAAATGTTGCCAAGACGTCGATCTCCGGGAATTTGGACCCCCCCTAAATTATCTAAAATGAAATATAAAAAATTAAATAAACATTAGTAAGAAATATGTAATAATTTTGAAATTAATATTAAAAAAGACCACATAATCTGGCGCCTGAAAAATGAGCGCAGAACCATGCCCAACTATCCTCCCGCCCTTCAATCTACATCGAGCAACCCTCCTGAACAACGATTTGTGGATCATCAAATGCCTCAAAATGGTGGTGCAAGTCGCTCTTCCACTACTTGTACCTCTCAGCGAAGAGTCTATTGACGTACGCCAACGACTCGTCGTCGGGGTCCTCTAAGTTGTAGTTCGTATGCAATAAATTAATTACATACATTAAGTAATAGAATATATAAAGGTTGAAAGAAAAATAATTAAAAGGTAGGATACATATCGACAACTAGTCGTGCATCTCCATCTTGATCTCGTTAAGCATGACCTTCCAAGACTTTCATTGCATTGAGCAATGGGTCCGAACGACGTGACCAATGTTGTGGGCCAATGAGCTATGCAACTCCGCCGTCAGTGCAGCCCGATGCCGCTCGTCGTATCTGATGTTGATACGACTGTTAGTCACCCGAGTGACCTTCGCCGTCTTCAACCGCCGACACGGCCCTCGGGTATTCTTCATGGCTGCAAAGAAATATGACATTAATGTTAAATAAATAACAAATTTAACTATAACCCAACACCCAAAACAAACAAAAAAAAAAAAAAAAAAAAAAAAATTAGAAGTTGAAAATAAACAATGACTATGTGGACCCCAACACACCAGTAGCATGGTCGCATGGTGGTGGTCGTGTGGTGCTGGTGCAGGCCGGTGCCGCCGCCTGGCGCTAACAAGCTGCGCCATTGATGAAGCTGATGACGCAGGCGCCTGGGACCCCCCGGGACCAACTAGCAAGTGGTCCATCAGCGCTGGAGCAATGGCAGCAGATGAAGGCTGAGCCAGGGGAGGCGAACTCTGTGTAGTTGTCACCGCCTTACGACTTCTAATAAGGTTTCACATTTGCAAAATTTCATTAATACACATACAAATTAATCAAATTTACAAATATATAATTGTAAGCACATAAAATTTCATTAAGAATCTTAACTAATTAATAAAAAGCATAGCTTGAGCTATAATAAGTGATTTCGGAGTATCCAGGACTCCGATCCACGATCCGTCGAATCCTACATGATCCTACAAATACAAGGTACAACATACGTAAGTTTGAGTTCGATCCAACGGTCTGAACATTTCAAACCCAGAAATCGCACAATAGGCGAAATTTGTTCGAGACTCAAATGGTAACCAAATTCAAATCCGAGCACACCTACGAGCTCGTGACAACTAGGGGATTTCACTGGGATCCACTGCTACAGTATCCCACGCGCCACCACACGTGCCGACAGTGCGTGGGTGTCAAAAGTGATAACAATCGCTGGAAAATTCTAAAAACAAAGGGCCAAGGTTCCTACCCTAGGTTCAAAACATCAATTGGAGACACTTTTGTTCTCGGACCTACCCAGAAAAATGGCCGAAAGTGGCTGGAATTTAAATTCAAAAATCGGCCAAAACTTAGGGTTTAAATTCGAGATACCTATTGCAAAAATTATTCGAATCCTATCCAAGCATCAGCTAGAGCACGAAAAATAGTCCCGAAATCATACCTTAGGTGTTGGATTTGGTGGCCGGAGTAGAGAGAACGAGGCCGGCGAAGATTCTGTGAAATTCGAGCAAATTCCGGTGGCAGGCTTGACGGTGACGGTGAGGAAGGTCTGGGCTTTGAAGGTTGTGGTGGCCCGGTCCTTTTTTTTGGTGTAGTAGTGGGCTGAGTGGCGTGAGAAATAACTAACGCACAAATTAAACCCTATAAATCATGCAATCGTAGTACGAGTAAGTAGGGATCGTTCTATTCCGGGGATTAGGAGGGATGCTAATCAACACAAATTAAACTTATTAAACTGGAAACTAAGTTAAGGGAACAATGATTGGGGGGAATTCTGACGATTTAGACTAAAGTAAGACTGACAGCAGCAAACAACTAAGTTGTGAATGAAATATGGATTAAGGGATAGCTAGAGGATTCTTCTCCACACATGGAACATATGCACACAAATCGATCTCCAGTTACTCTTTCTATAAAGTATGAATGACAAAGCCCCAAATTAATTGTGAATGCACTAATTAACTCTCAGATTTTCCTAAGTTCATTGAATTGGACTCAGCGACGCAATCAAATTATCCTTATCAAGTTCCCTATATGAACAGCATGATAGAGATACATATCAAAGATCATTAAGTTCTATGAAAATCATAAGCCTTGACAAGGCAATTGTAACTATGAAAAGCATGATACTCCTGCCAAGAATTTACTTAACGCAATCATGACTAGTGACTTTTACTACTTGTGAATATAAGTTCATAACGATTAGGTGAAATTCCCTTATATTCTAGCATCAAATCCCTGCATACAAACTAAGTATGCATCCTTAATAAACATGCAAGAATAAGTCCTTTTTTTTTTTTTTTTTTTTTTTTTTTTTTTTTTTTTTTTTTTTTTTTTTTTTTTTTTTTTTTTTTTTTTTTTTTTTTTTTTTTTTTTTTTTTTTTTTTTTTTTTTTTTTTTTTTTTTTTTTTTTTTTTTTTTTTTTTTTTTTTTTTTTTTTTTTTTTTTTTTTTTTTTTTTTTTTTTTTTTTTTTTTTTTTTTTTTTTTTTTTTTTTTTTTTTTTTTTTTTTTTTTTTTTTTTTTTTTTTTTTTTTTTTTTTTTTTTTTTTTTTTTTTTTTTTTTTTTTTTTTTTTTTTTTTTTTTTTTTTTTTTTTTTTTTTTTTTTTTTTTTTTTTTTTTTTTTTTTTTTTTTTTTTTTTTTTTTTTTTTTTTTTTTTTTTTTTTTTTTTTTTTTTTTTAGAAGGATGAATCCTAGAAAGATTAAGAATTTGAAGAACCCAGACTTCGGTCGGAATCAGTGACAACCATGGCTGGTGCACTCCTACGAACACTCGCCACAAATGTTCTGACCGCTCAACGAGAGCAAAATGGGCCCGGTCGAGCAACGGCCCTCGGCCACGACCAAGTGTTAGTTGAAAATGTCATGGAAGTAGCTGGGGACCAGTCTTGAGGCCGATTAGACCACTTCATTGGAACTCCACACACTCATGCGTGTCATGGAGACATGGCACAGACGATGGCCACTCAAATGCTCAAATCAATGAGAGGTTTGATCGATGGTTAGGCCAACAAAATGGCCAAAATGGGAACCAAGGGCGCCTAATGGAGCACCAGCAGCTGGGCCACAAGTGAGGCCCAACCAAATGGTTTTGGAGTAAATCCGCCCCAAACTAATCCACCAGTTGGGGGCAACGCAACCCCAGTGATTAATGTTCTGCCGATGGCAACAATCCATATGCTGCGGTCAACCAATTACAAGTTTTTTCCGCCATATAATCAGTTCGGCCCCACAAGCTCACCAAGAGGCCGAAGCCAATTTTGTTGGGCCTCATATCAACCAATTCGCCGGAGTAGGTGGTTGGATAATCTCGGCGGGAATGCTAACAACCCATTGCTAGGGAATCAAGCAATCAACGGGTGCGGTCGACAAATGATTCAAGACATGGTGCCCGATTAGGAGAATTGGTAGGCCAGTCTACCGAAGGCCATATCTAGAGCATTTTGAACAAGAGGAATTTCCGAGGGTTTCAGGTTCTGGATTTTGCATTATTTTCTGGAGATGGGCTCCAGTCGACCGTCAAACATATTGGCCGATTCACGGCCCCAATGTGCAGAGATTGGGCACCACGAGGCCTTGAAACTAAGGCTTTTCTGAGTACACTTACGGGGGCAGCTTTCTCATGGTATGTAAGCTTCTGCAAAACTCCGTCCCGAATTAGCAAGTTATGGAGCAAGTCTTCCATGAGCATTCTATCGATCGAAGCCGGAAGTCTCGATGACCGTGTTGGATCGTCGCAAATCTCGCGGCCTGGTGCTCCGGGCCGAGGGGGATGTGCGTCAACACGTGACGTCCTTCTTTTGGATGCGGTGCGGTTGTGCGCGGGCGTGCCAGCACGGTCTAACGTGCGTTGAGATGGTGATGGGGTTGGGTAGAAGATGTTCAAATGATGCGCCTGTTTGGAGTTGGACTTCTAGTCAAACGATTGTGGCCGAGAGAGGAACTTATCTCTGCCGTCAGGTTCACGGCCTGAGCTACAAGGCCGTTTAGTGGTGGTGTTGGTGGATTTTGGGCGGTGCTCCGGCGCGTTGCTCAGAGAGCGACGGTCGTATGATATATGGGGTGAATGAGGCGGTAACAAGGGTGATGCTCCGGCGCCTTGAAAATCAAGGGTCGTATGATATATTGATGAATGGATTTTCCTTACAATCTACCACTACTCCTAGGAAAGCATGTAAAGGTATTGAAAGTGCATTACAGAAAATATAAGTTGCTCCGTGGGAGGCTTTTGGTTTGGTGTTTGAACCTCTTGAACGTGGTCTTGAGCTTAGTATTTATAGGAGGAGTCCTGGAGGGCCAATCGAGGCTGAAAAAAGATTTGCCTGATGGCTTAAAAATATCTGCATGGTGGAGTCTGATCGGGGCAAGTGGGTAGTCAAATCGGCATTTGGGATCGTGAAGCATGGTGGTCTGGGTTGAGAAGCATGGTGGTGTGACCCCCATAAATCTCGGCAAATCTCGGCCACCGCCCTGATTGTGGGCTCTGCCCCCTTGGCCGTGGGAACACATTTAATGCTCTGGTCTAGTGGTTGGTGACCTGACCTCAAGCTGTGAGAATGTTTGTGCCTAACCACTCTGATTCCTGTTATCAAATCCTGACTTCAATCACTTCCCTTCTTGAACGTGGGAGGCTTTTGGTTTGGTGTTTGAACCTCTTGAACGTGGTCTTGAGCTTAGTATTTATAGGAGGAGTCCTGGAGGGCCAATCGAGGCTGAAAAAAGATTTGCCTGATGGCTTAAAATATCTGCATGGTGGAGTCTGATCGGGGCAAGTGGGTAGTCAAATCGGCATTTGGGATCGTGAAGCATGGTGGTCTGGGTTGAGAAGCATGGTGGTGTGACCCCCATAAATCTCGGCAAATCTCGGCCACCGCCCTGATTGTGGGCTCTACCCCCTTGGCCGTGGGAACGCATTTAATGCTCTGGTCTAGTGGTTGGTGACCTGACCTCAAGCTGTGAGAATGTTTGCGCCTAACCACTCTGATTCCTGTTACCAAATCCTGACTTCAATCACTTCCCTTCTGCCCTCGTGCATTAAATGCTTCTTGCACCCAGTGGTTTTGCTGTGGCGGTCAAAGGCACTACTTCATTAAATGGGGCGTGGGACCCTGAGGCCACGTGGCGATTTGACCACAGAATCTTCGGCCGGGTCTTTCATGGACCTCGGCCTCGGCCCATAATGCCGTGGTTGTGAGGCCGAGAAGATCCTGCCTTCGCATTTTCTTCTGCTTTCGAAAAGGCTAAATGTCTGACGAAACGTGGCAGTTTCAGTCCATGAATAGGTGCCACGGCCGAGAAGAGGTTCCTTCTGACGACCGTGATTTATTAGGCACAAACAGACCGATTTGGCAAAGATAAGCCATAAGCCAAGTGAGTCGGTCCAAGAATTCTTGGGGAAATTTAGAGAGGCAAGGGCTAGGTGTACGGTCAATATGCCAGAGCACGAGTTTGCAAAATTGGCCCAAGGAGGATTGTTGCTTGACCTCCGAAAGAAATTCGAAGGAATTGAGTTCCGAGAATTTATGATCTCTTACTTCGGGTGGACCGATACGAAGCTCTTCTAAAAGAAGAGCAACAATAAGGGCGGCCGACACCTCGGCCGACATTTATAGGAATTCAAACAAACCTTCCGAGTCTAGGATTATGGCGGTCCACGCGGTGGACATTGAAGTTATATACTCAGAAGAAAGAGGTGATGAGGTTTACTTAGATGAGGAAAAAGAGTCGGTCGGGGTAAACTTGACCGAGATTGTGGCCAAAGGCTTTGTCTAAAGCCTCTAAGGATCAAGGCCGACCACGGCCCAAATGTCCAAGTTTAGTGGAACTTCCCAAAAAGCGGTCGTGACAAAGTCCTACACGTTTGATATTTCTAAAGTCGAACAAATTTTCGACCAACTTTTGAAAGAAAATATCATAAAATTGTCTAATGATCATGATATTCCATCGGCTAATGAACTTAGAAATAAAACTTATTGCAAGTTTCACAATGTGTGGTCTCATACGACTAACAATTGTTTGGTTTTTCAGAATGCCGTGCAGGATCTCATCGATCGGAAGATCTTGAAATTTCCGGAGAAAGCTACAATGGACGTCGACCAGAATCCTTTCCCAAATACTCAAGTCAACATGGTGAACGCTAACTTCCCAAGGCCAGACTAACCTAGGCCAAGGTTGGACTTGGGTGGCTCGACAAAGGCTGCAGCAGAAAGAAGGACAAGGGAGATCTCGGCGGACCCTAAGGCAAAGGGCAAGGCCAAAATGTATCCTGAGGTGTGAGACAAAGTTTAGGCCAAGGAATAACCTCTAAAGGCCATTGTGCTATGCAGTCGGTGCCAATGTGAAGTGACTCTCAAAGTGGTTCCGCCAAAGCCCAAGGAGCCAACCAAAGAGCCAACCCAAGGAACCTACCAAGGGGCTGATTAAGGAGCAAACCAACGATCAAGTCCAAGTGGGTAGATCTAGGAGTTTTGAAAGGAATATGATAACAAGTCTGGCCGAGAATTACGGCCCACATAGCCCAAGAGGTGGAATGGAAGTGAGGCCGAAACAAACGGCCTTTGCACGAGTACTAAGATAGGTACGAGAGGCCGAGATATCAGGCCAAAAAGGAGGATTCAACATGCCCCTCTAAGGTATGAAGACATTGATTCGCCAGACTCAAGCCAAAACTGAAGCATGTGGATTTCGGTGGGAGAAGGCAAAAGCTGAGATGTGGCCTATGTGTCAAGACCCCGCCCCACGGACGGTAGTGGTGTCCCAACTTTCAAGGTGCCAAACACAAAGGTGGGCCAATGGTATAGAAGTAGAGGCCCAAAAGTCCCACCGGTACCTTTGAGCAAGACTCAAACAAGAAGGGCTCAAAGGCAATATGCCACCACTTGCAAGGCGGAGTTAGATTGGGCGGACAAAAGGTAAGCCCAACTTGATCGATTGGTCGAGCTTTGAGAGAAGCTTCGATTGTAGGAGTTAGAATTGGCCAAGGCCAATGCTATCGCTTCCTTGGAAGCAGCTACGACCGAAGAGATGAAAATACGTTGAGAATCGGTGAATGGCTGAGTCGTGGTAACGGCCCCGGAAAAGCCAATCTCGGAGTTGGAGGCACATTTGACTGGGGCTTTTGAGGCAAATAATTCTAAAGTGGAAGTTAGTGAGGTGACCAAGAAGAGAGGAGATAAACCTCTTAAGGTTCAAAAGGTAAGGGCGGCTCCATCGAAAGTCAAGCCTCCGATCGCCAAGGCCCCGGCCGTGACCAAAGTGGCTTAGCCCACCAAAGTTGAGAACAAAGAGGAAAATGACCAAAACATGGTCCAAGAAGCTGATGATGAGCCTCATAAGATAGTAAGCGAGTCTAGGGCGGAAGAAGACCAAGTTATGGTCAACACCGAAGCCGATGTGGTAGAAGAAGAGGCCGAGCACACGGCCGAGGAAGAAGCTAAAGAGCCATTGGAAAATCTCGAAGGTTCGGTGGTCGAAGACGAAGAGCTTTATAGGGATGATGAGGAGTATGCTGATGACGAGTACCTAAAGGATCTGTCGGAGGAAGCTATAGAACACTTAGAGAAAGAGCGCAATCAAGAGATGGCCAAGTTTGAGAATGAGCTAAAAGTGGGCAAGGTCAAAGTAAGTTTGGATACTTTGACGAGGTAAATTCCATGGTTGTTACACTCCCATTATTTTTCGAAGCTCGGCCGGATCAACCTAATTTTATGGACAGAGATGTGTTCGATGAGGTCGAGTCCATTGGCCAAATGGAAGGGGCCAAAGAAATTGAGGTGGCCCAAGAAATTCTAAAGGAAGGGAATGCCCAACCTTGCATCATGGTGACCAAAAGGAGGAAAAATTACTCGAGAAGGTGTGCTATGAGATGCCCACCAAGAAAATGTCCTCCCACCTTAAGCCTTTGTATGTGGGAGCTCATTTCGATGGAGTTCCGGTGAGCAAAGTCCGTGTAGATACGGGGGCTACAGTCAACATCCTACCAGCCTCAATCATGAGGAATTAAAGAAAGGCTCAGATGAGTTAATTCTGACCGAGACAACGGTCAGTGGGTTCGTGGGAGACACCACGACTTCAAAGGGGATCATCCCACTCCTAGTTAGAGTGGGGCAAAAAGTTAGAATGACTGCTTTCTTTGTGGTAGAGACAACGACCCCATTTCAATGCTTTGTTGGGCCGAGATTGGATCCATGGAAGCATGTGTGTGCCCTCTTCACTTCATCATTTTTACAATTTTGGCACGAGGATGGAAGTGTAGAGACTGTTTAGGCCGATGCATTGCCCTTCATCTCCTCTGCCAATGCGGTAGAGGCAAAGTTTTATGAGGTTGACATTGGGCCCCTTTATTTTACGGGGTCAGATAGGAACGGCCGACCTACGGGAGTCTCGGCCCAAAAGTTGATAGACTTGGGGGCACATGATGCCCAAGCAAATGGGGAGCACCCCACTATAGCTGATTTTTTCTCCCTCAATGAGTGATACAAACATGGAGGAAGAAAAGAAGGCCGCGGCGGAAGACACTTTGAGACGGCTATATGGTTGTTGGGCGGAAAGAGCGGTAGAGCATGGGTCCACCACCAACTTGGTGGAATTTCTTCATGCAGGTCCGGAGGATGATGCACTCGAGCTCAAGGAAGTAGAGTTGGCGCCAAGTGAGATGGACGATTCGAAGACGGAAGTCCAAGACCCTTTGTTAGAAATCAACTGGGGACAAAAGACAACCATCGACCGATCTACATTAGTGGTTTAATGGAGCCAGAACTTCAGGCCAAGATGGAAGAGCTATTGAGAGAGTTCAGGATTGCTTCGCTTGGGATTACACCGAGATGCCCGGATTGAGTCGTGACTTGGTCGAGCATCGCCTACCAACGGTGGAAGATTTCAAGCCCTTTAAGCAGCCGCCCTGCCGATGTCGGCGAAAGTAGAGTTACAGGTTAAGGAAGAAATTGTAAGGCTTGTAAAAGCCAAATTTATTAGGCCAGCTAGATATGTAGAATGACTTTCGAATATTGTACCTGTAAAGAAAAAAAGGGAGCAATAAGAATATGTGCTGATTTTCGCAATCTTAATCTTGCAACTCCCAAATATGAATATCTATGCCCATGGCCGACCTCTTAGTCGATGGGGCGGCCAAGCATGAAATTTTGTCCTTCATGGATGGGCACTCTGGCTATAACCAAATTTTTATAGCCAAGGAGGATGTCCACAAGACAGCCTTCAAATGCACTGGATCCATTGGAACTTTTGACCATGTGGTGATGCCCTTCGGCTTGAAAAATGCCGAGGCCACATATCAAAGGGCAATGAGTGCCATTTTCCATGACATGATCGGTCGAAATTTAGAAGTGTATATCGACCATGTGGTCATAAAATCGGAGTCTAGACTAGGTCACTTAGATGACCTTCGGTCGTCTTTCAAGAGAATGTGGTGGCATCAATTGAAGATGACCCAAAACGTGTGCTTTTGTGGTGTCCGCCGGAATTTCTTAGGATTCTTGGTGCACCAAAGGGGGATTGAGATTGATAAAAATAAGGCGAAGGCTATCATTGACGCACCCCTTCCAAAAAAACAAGAAATGTGTGCAAAGTTTATTGGGCCAAATTAACTTTCTTCGAAGGTTTATAGCCAACCTCCGCGGGAAAAGTTGAGCCCTTCTCATCTTTGTTAAAACTCAAAGATAAAGAGAAATTTAGGTGGGAAGAGACCAAAGGGCATTTGACGCCATCAAAGCATATTCGGCCAAGCCTCCGGTGCTCATTTCCACCAAAGCGGGCCGACCCTTGAAATTATATATTTCGACCGCGAAGAACTCCATCGGAAGTCTATTAGCCCAAGACAATGATGAGAAGAAAGAGCAAGTGGTATACTACCTCAGCCGAATTCTAACGGCCACCGAGAGGAAATATTCTTCGATGGAGAAACTTTGCTTAGCCCTATACTTTACCGCGACCAAGTTAGGCATTACATGTTGCCCTCCGTGGTGCATATGATCGCCAAGACTGATTTGATAAATACATGCTCACTTGCCCAATCATTAGAGGGCGGACAGGAAAATGGACAATGGCATTGGTGGAATTCACTTTCCGATATGTGCCCCAGCAAGCCGTTAAAGGGCAAGCCTTGGCCGATTTCTTGGCAGCCCATCCTTGTGTTGAAATAGAGGAGAAGGATTTCCTTGAGGTGGGCACATTGAGTTTATTTCCATGGCACCTTTATTTTGACGGGTCTCGAACATCTAACATGAGCGGGGGCAGGGTCATCATTGAATTGCCCAAAGGATTCCGAACTCGTTATTCATTTCAATTAGACTTTGATTGTACCATAATCAGGCCGAATATGTGGCCCTGATCATAGGTTTGGAAATTTTGAAAGAGCTTGGGGTAAAAAGTGTGGCAGTTATGGGAGATTCAATGTTGGTCTTAAAACTATTGTCTGGCGACTACAAGGTGACTAGCCAAGCTTTGCTCGGATATCATGCCTTGGCCAGCCAATTGATGGAAGATTTTGACGATGTGAGACTCACCCACCTACCAAGAGAACATAACACTCAGGCCAACGCCATGGCCCAATTAGCATCTGGAGTGTAACAACCTGGTCCTTAAATAATATTTAATTATTAGTTTATTAGAGGGAAAGACAACTTTGCCCCTAGAATAGTTTATTGGAGAAAATTTGACTTTTCTACAGAGGTAATTTGAGGATTTCAATGGTACTGTTGCGTAGAGCACATTGAGATGAGTCTGTAGACACGTAGTGGGCTCAAATCAGAGTTGTAACGAAGAAGATATGGTCTACAAAAGTCCAGTGGCATAATCGTAAATTTTCAAAGTTCAGATTTCTTAAACCCAGATTTTTCTTCTCCTTCGCGAAGGTTTCGAACAGCCATTTTCAGACGGCCATTTCTCCTCCGTCTGGCCACCAAATCGAGTGCCACAACTTGAAACACTTCGCCTTGATTCCAAGAGAATCAACCAGAAAATCGAGCCAAAGTTGAGCCCAAAAACAGGCAGCTTCGAACCCATAATTTTCAGTGATTCCCCATGCAAATTCCGGCCATCTCCGGCCGCCACAGCTCAGGTAATTGCATCTAAATACTCTCCTACCTTCCTTTTGTGTTATCCTTTGAAAACCCAGCGTGAATCCATTCCAATTTCTTTGATTTCGAAACTAAAATTTTCTAGGTTTTCAAGAGACAGAAAGCTTTGTTCAAGGGCTTTAATGGTGGAATTAATCGTCGACCCTTGATGTGCTTAATCCGTAGGTATGGTTATTGGCCGACGTTTTGGAGTTTTCCGATCGCCGGAAAATTACTCAATGCACCAACTGGCGGTGGAGGCGCGTCAGCGGGTGTCAAGGCTGGGTTTTTGTCCTAGAATTTTCTCCACGTCGTCTGAGCACGATGGTATGCTCGGATTCCAATTTGGTTACCGTTGGTTCGGACCGTTGGATCGAACCCAAATTCGCTTATGTCGTACCTCGTATTACCAGGAATGTTTAGGGTTCGACGGATCGTGAATCGAAGTCCTGGATACTCCGAAATTGCAAACCCTAAGGTTAAGCTTTTAGAAACCGTTTGATCGTGCGATCGTGGGCCATCCGACCGTCTGATCGAGATCAAACTCTCGGGACTTGTGTCCTAGGTATAGTGGAACCTCCAGTAGCTTCCGGATCAGAATTTTGAGGTCGTGGGCCCACAGGGTCCCGAGTTGACTTTTTGGGACTTTAGGGCTTTTTCAATCCCGAGGCACTTCTCAACCATTCCAAATGTGAGGAAAGCTTTTGTGGGCATAGGAAATGTTTCTAAGTTAGTGCACGCACTTTTAGGAGCAGGGGGTCATGGTTGTATTTAAATACTTATACCGAGCAGTTTTATTAATTAAGTATTCATGATGTTTTAATCAGGCACACGGGCACATACCGACCCGCAGGAAGGACCTTCAAGAGGTCCAGCTAGCTCGGACCAGGGTTGAGTGGACTTTTTGGTTTTATAAATAATTTATGCAATTCGATTTCGTTATTGATCTTGAATAAGTTTTATTCAAAGATTAGTGCTTTCGTGATTTGAAATATGTTTTTAAAGATTTGGATTTATATGCTGCCGAGTGGAATATCCTTTATGGATATAGGAAAAGGACATTTTAGCTAAATATCAGACAAATGGTAGCAGAGTTTTAGATTTAACAGAAATTCAATTATTCACCAGATTTTTCAGGAACTATATATATTTTTCTAAGCCACCTTAGGTACCCAGATGTACATATGTTGCCCTCGGATAAATTGGTTGCCTTCGGTAAATATGTTGCCTTTGGATTTATTTGGTTGCCTTCGGTTTAGTCAGCATGCTTGATAGTTGCCCCACGAGTTCTATGGTACCTGGACTCGTGCGGAGCGAGGGTGTGGATCAGGCTGACCAAGGTCCCCTGAATCCTGCGAGGATTGCGGCTCGGGTCGACTTCGTGTCACCGAGACCTGTGAGGACGTTGTTTGGGCCACTATTGGCATACCCAGCCCAGCAAAATTTAGGCCCAGAATGAAGCTGCAAAAAATCAAAGAAAGATGGAAGCCCAAAAGCCAGAGTCGACCAACAAGTCCGCTTTTTTTTTTTTTTTTTTTTTTTTTTTTTTTTTTTTTTTTTTTTTTTTTTTTTTTTTTTTTTTTTTTTTTTTTTTTTTTTTTTTTTTTTTTTTTTTTTTTTTTTTTTTTTTTTTTTTTTTTTTTTTTTTTTTTTTTTTTTTTTTTTTTTTTTTTTTTTTTTTTTTTTTTTTTTTTTTTTTTTTTTTTTTTTTTTTTTTTTTTTTTTTTTTTTTTTTTTTTTTTTTTTTTTTTTTTTTTTTTTTTTTTTTTTTTTTTTTTTTTTTTTTTTTTTTTTTTTTTTTTTTTTTTTTTTTTTTTTTTTTTTTTTTTTTTTTTTTTTTTTTTTTTTTTTTTTTTTTTTTTTTTTTTTTTTTTTTTTTTTTTTTTTTTTTTTTTTTTTTTTTTTTTTTTTAAGCACCTGCACATGTGACCTGTACCACAGAGAACCTCAATAGCCTCCTTTCCTCCTCCTCCTTCAACACCCAAAACAATTATGGCTTTTACAATTCATCAATGGGAAAACACCCCAACAGTGTCAATGCAATTGCATTATGCAGAGGAGACCTCTCACAGGACCTTTGGCAGGCTTGTCTCAACTTGTCTATTGGTAGGGTCCTGCAAACTTGTTCAACTCAAAGGAAGCAATCTTTTGGGCAGAGCGTTGTCTGGTGAGATACCACACAACTTGATATATGGTATTGAGAAACAGTACCCTGTTAGGTATGTGCCTGGAGCAGAGTTTCTCAATAATCCTCAACCGTTTCAGCCGGTACTCGACTACTTGTTGCGTAATGTAAGTGACAGAGCTGCATCAGTGAATTTCTCTTAAAAAAAATCAGCAGGGCATGTAACGTACAGGAGCTGGAATAATATCAATATATACACTTGTTCAGTGCACTCCAGACATAGACGAGCAAAATTGCAACAATTGCCATAAAGAGTCCGTCTCAGAAATTCAAACCTGTTGCGGTGGAAAGCAAGGAGGAAGAGTTCTTAAACCCAGCTGCAATTTAAGGTATGAGGTTAGTCTTTTCTTTGGGTCTACAGCCAATCGTTAGTAGATATTCCAGCTCCAGTTCCGGCAGCACCAGCACCTGAAGAAGGTATGCATGCGTATTATGGTTACCCTGCAAATCTTCAATTTGATCCATGTCTTACAATTGTGTGGTGTGGTTTTGGCTTTTGATAAGATATCCCATCTGATTTTCAGCAAAAAAGAAGAGTAACACAAAACAAACTGTCATCATCATCGTTGTGGTTTTGGTTGTTTTTGTCTATTTTCAGCAGCATATGCTTTTTCTTCAGAGTAAAGAAACGAAGGTAAAACTTGAACAACGTAAGTTCAACTCTGTTTATTTGTCTTATCTGAGGTTTTGGAACTCTGTTTGCTAATTCATCTAATCTCAAAAGAAGAAAAACTTGTAAGTCTAAATAAAGTATAATCATGCAGTGCATATATGGCTCTTGAATATGTAATTCATGGACACTTTTCTGTCAAAACAGATGTCTTCAGTTTTGGGGTGTTAGTTCTTGAAATGAAGAGGACTTGTTAAGCTATGCGAGCATGAATTCAATCAAGTCGGTAGATTCTTCTTTTGCCTGTTAAATTTGTTTTTGACTATATTTGATGTACTTTTATAGGCCTGGAGAAATTGGAGGGAGGATACAGTTGAAAACATCATAGATCCGGTGTTGACGAGAAGTTCATGGAATCGAAGTGATGAGATCCATCCACATAAGTTTACTATGTGTGCAGAAAATGTGGTGGACTGACACAGACCAACCGTGGCTTCAGTTGTATCCACGCTTAACAGCCAGTCTCTCACACTAGCAGTACCCTCACAACCTGCATTCTATATATGAATCCACAACACTGGATCAGACAAACCGACGTTGACCGAGTCTGACCAATCCAAAACCCTCTCTGTCTATGCATCAAAATCTGAGACTTGAAATTACTGAACCATTTTCCATCTCTCTCTACTACTGAATTGAAACCCTCCTTTTTGAAATGGTGCGGTAGCTTTTCTTTGAGAGCCAGGAACAAAACCTCATCAATTTCCCAATAGTTGGAAGGACAAGAGGCGGGTGGGCCCCTGGTACAAAGTGACATAAAGTGTTAATGTCTTAAAGCTTTCACGCCAATATCACTCATCAAATTAACTCGAGGAATAGCTCTAAATGCCACCCTTTTATTATATATAAAAAGGCCAAAATTAACTATGAATGAATTGACATAAAACGTGACCCTATTTGTTCTGGGTGCAGGCTTATAATTTGTAGAACGGTTTCATAAAAAATAATAAATAATAAATAAATAAATAAATGTATTTAAGTCGAATTCAAGTAAGCTTCAGATGGGTTACAATAGGGCTACAAGCCCCCTCCTGTAAGTTAACGTTGTGGAGAGGCATGAAGTTGCAGATGGATTCTTATTTATCCATTTAATTTAATTTAAAAAATAAGCCATGGACGCAGAACTCAGAGGAGTCCTTTTTATTTGAATAAGCCCCCACAACACTGTCTTTAAACAGAGGATTGGTCAATATTGTACTACAAACCCATAAATAAAATTAATTGTCAACACAACCAACTGGGGCAATGAGTGGAGATAAAGTCAAGTGTTCACAGCAACCATCTGGGGCTGTTAAACCAAGAATTGAAGACACAAGTTCTTACTAGTTTGTATACAACACTACTTTTGACTTTAGCAACAAGAAATGGGTTCTTCAAGATTGCTCATCTTCTTCATTGCACTTCCTATTATCTTGAACCTTGTTGCTCCTCCTGCCGTTGCTCAAATTGATGACGGTGTGTGCACTTACACAGCCGACTTCTGCTGGAGATGTTCCAATATTGGCACCTACAATGATGGCAGCATCTACCAAGAAAACCTCAACAACCTCCTCTCTTCCTTCTCATCCAACAATACACAAATCAATTATGGCTTTTACAATTCATCAATGGGACAAGACCCCAACAAAGTGAATGCAATTGCATTATGCAGAGGATATGCGTCCCTCAACGACTGTCACACTTGTGTCAACGACTTGTACTTAGTATGAAAATTGTATTGTTATTTCTTAGACTCTAGTATAGGTTGAAAATTAGTGTGTGAAGAATTGTTACTAGACGTTTTGGCACAACTTATTTAACCCCATACTTCCGAGGCATGACTTGACTGATGTTGACGCAGAAAAATGGTTCGGCACTTTCCCGCGCAACTTAGTGATTATGCTTCCTTCGGTATCTGATGTCCTCGGTAGTGTGTCCAATCTGTAAGATAGCAAACACACGGTAAGTCCTAGGGCACCGGTGTGGTACCGGCCGAAGGCTCTCCGATGCTTAAGTAAGTACGGATTTAGTAAGTTTGAACTACAGATCAATAGGCAGTATGCCGTGAGTTCTGATTGATTACCTCCAAGCTGGGATGGTGTCCTCTTTTATAGGCCTTGGGAGGTGTGCAATTTGTTTAGAGTTTCGATGTGGGACTCTGGACATCAGTTGTGGGACTGCCACGTGTCGAAGGGGGCGAGGTTGCCCTAATGTTGCGATCGGTGGGTTTGGTACCGAAGGTGGATGCCGAAGGCACCCATGGCCCTGGTTTAGTCCCACGTGTCCGATATTCATTGGCTGTTCATTTTGGTATAAACAGGAGTCCCCCAAGTCCTCTTGCGAGAGTTCTCGGAAGGGGATTTGAAGTTGTCTTCGGAAGGAAATGTGGCCCTACCGTTCGGTAGTCCAGTTGGGGAAGGGGCTCAACTTTGGCCCTTCCGGCATTATTTGTTCAGAGGCTGACGTTGGCGAAGTCAGAAGGTCGCGTCGAGCGGACGGTGAAGGGACATCTGAGCGCTTCGACTTCGCGCCTCGCGTGCCGTCAGTTCCCCCATAGGATGAGCGACACGTGGCGAAAGTAATGATGGCGCGCGGCGCATTAATGCGCCGTTTGGTTTTTCGAGGAGTACCGTTGCAAACCACTCCCCTATAAATAGAGGTGACCCCGGAGGCGAAATCACTTTGCATCTAGTGAGAAGCGAGAGCTCTGTTGAGGCGATTTCCGACGAGGGCTTCCGGTATTCCAGGCGATTTCCGACAAGTGCTAACGGCAACCAGGCGATTTCCGGCGTATCAAACGGTAGGAAGGGCGATTCGTGTCCAGGCGATCTGAAGCAGTCGCGTTCATTTCCAGAAGTTGAACTAAGGTACCGTTCGGTAGCCCTACTTTTCCTCTCTTGCATACCTTAAGAGTTACGTCCTTCCTTGGTTTGAACTAGACTGACCATAGGGTTCCATTCGGTAGTCTAGTCGCCATAGGTAGTGATGTAGGGATCGGTAGGATAGTATCCGGCATGAGCCTTAGTTTCCTTTCTTCCCTGTTTTTGTAGATGTCTGATAGCGAGTCATTTCTCCGAGCGTGAGCCCAACGCGTTCGATGAGGAGTCATCGGAAAGGTCTCTTTGACTCCGATGTTGAAGCGGCAGGGCCTGATGCCGAGGATGGAAGTGATACCGATGTCGAGATACTCGGTGAAGGGCCCAGCTCCGTCCCTATACATGGCATCGGAAAGGGGCTAATGACCGCTCCGGTACCGTTGTCTATTGTCTATAGCGACGGCCGCCATGTGGGTCTAGGCGCCCCTGGGGAGGCGAGCGGTAGTCGCCAGCCAGAGGCCTCCACTTCCGGCCGTGGTGAGCCAGCTGCCGAACCATCCAACCGCCGAGGGTTCGGTAGTCTACCCCAGCAATCCTAGGGTGCCGATGGGGGTTCCGAAGGAGCTCGTCTTCGGCGTAGATTATCTGGAGCCTAACAGAATCACCGAGAGGGAGATTGCGAGGTTTCGTGCTGAGTACTTCATACCAGATTCGGTAGGCATGAGGATCCCAAATCCTACCGAATCTCTAAGCAGTCCGAAGGATGGCGAAGTCGTCTTTTTCACGGACGTACTTCTGCAAGGGTGAGGCTCCCTCTGCAGCCCGCCGTTCAGAGGATCCTGGCGCAGATAGGCTATGCTCCCGGCCAGTTCAATCCCAACTTCTGGGTGGCGCTAATGGGGTGTGGTCACAGCCTTCGGCATGGCTGGGCGAGGGAGAGCCTTCGTACGAGCAGTTCTCCCACCTGTACAGCGTCACGAAGTCGAAAGTGTGCCGATCACGGGGGCTGGGTCCAGGCTAACTGCCTGAAGGCTACCGAGCGTGGGCCACTTTTGTCAACGCTGTGCCAACCTCCCAGAAGACGTGGAGGAAACGGCGGGTGCTTTTGTCCGGTGACTGGGAGTCGCCCTCGGGACATCCCGTCCGTTTCCACATTCCCAACCACGTTCCAAATTGCCGGTAGGCTATCCTACCGTTCGGTAGGGCATCTAGATCGTGTTTTCCTTCGGTAATGTTAATTCCGTTTTCCCTTTGTGCAGGCAAGTTGAAGCAGCCGAGCGCTACACAAGCGGAGATCCGGCAGATCGAAAGGGTGAGGCTGAAGGTCCCTGCCGTGGAGAGGGTTTATCCCGAAGTTTCTCTTCACCACCAATCTCATCAAAGCTCAACTCATCACCCTGCCGAGAGTAAGCGTACTTGACCATTTTGATAGTTTATGACGTAAATCGGGAAATCTGACCGTTCCTTCTCGCAGTGACCGAAGAGAGGAAAACTGCCGAGGCAAAGAGGATGAACGAGTCCTCGAAGAGGCGCCTCATGCTCGGCATGCAGGGGAAGAAGAAAGGGCGGCAGGCCGGAACGGCACCGGCGTCTTCAGGAGGGGTGGACCCTGATGATCTAACCCTCAACGAGCGTCGTCGCCAGATGACGCTGAATCGGCGCGTGCCGAAGCTGCCGATGCTGGTCCGTCCCCCAGCCGAGGCACGCCTGCCGAGGGTACCTCCTCCAAAGCTGCAGGCAAAAGACCGTTCACGGTGGACCTTGATGCCGACCCCGCTCCAAAACGCGGGCGACAAGCGAGCCTGCTCGGGCCATCTTCTCTGCCGAGGACGACGAGGCGCCTCCCGAAGCTGTCACCCTGGCCTGTCCTTCGAAGACGGTCCAGTTTGTGAACCACATGATCCTCGGTTCACAAATGGAGCTGTCCGAGATCGAGGACCTGCCGAAGAAGCTCCTTCGGGAGGAGGCTGGCCGCGCCTTCCGTCTTCAAGCTTCGGTAAGTGCCTAATGTTTTTAGCATTTCCTGCCGTTGTTTCCCTTTCCATCTAACATTTTCCTTTGCCGTTCAGGCCTCAATGGACATGTGGCTCTGCGTCAAGCGAGCCATTAATGCCGCCGAGAAGGCGAAGAAGGCATACGAAGACGGCAGAGCGAAGGTTGCCGAGGCCGGCAAAGCCATCCAAGCTCAGGCGAACTTGGCGAAGGACATGCAGGCTGCCGAACGGCAGGTAAAAGTTTATCAAGCCAAGCTCGGCGAGATGTCGGCAGCCTTGGAGGCGGCGCAGCTGACGGCAAAGGAGGCTCTGGAGTCGAAGGAGGCGATCCAGGTGGCTTTGAGGAGTCCGAGCGGGTCAGGGCTTTCGAGGTCGAGGCTGCCGTTCAGGAGGCGATACGGGGCTACCGTCGGTCTACCGAGTTTTCTACCTTGCTGGACAAGGAGGTAGGCTTGGAAATGGCGGACCTACTCTACCGTTTCAAGCGGTACAACCCCGGGAAAAAGCTCAACCTCAACTTCATTGCCTATCCTCCCCCTCTTCCTGAAGGTGTAACCGAAGAAATGGTCGAGGAGTACGAGGGAGAGGACATCACAAAGGAGGCCCCAGCCGATCCCGAAGGGGGTACTGCCGAAGCCGATGGGGTTGCCGCCGAAGCCGATGAGCCGCCGCCTGAAAGAAGGCTTCGTACGCTCTGCAATGATACTCAAAGGTATAGTCCTATCTCGAACGGCAGGGCGACAATCTTCTCCAAAAGCTTCTTCTCATTTCCTGCTTTTATCTTATGTAACTTATGCCATGGGTATTTTTTTCATGTAACTTTGATGTAATCTTGATGCCGTGGGCATATTTTGATTGAATTTGATGCCGTGGGCATATTTTATTTGAATTGATGTCGTGTCTTATTTTAATTGATTTGCATCTTACTTTTGAATCGGTATGACTTAGGAAATTTTTCTTTTTAATGCCAAGGGCTCTCAAAAAAGGGTCACTAGCCGTTGGCCAATAAAGTTTCCTTTCGAGCAAAAGTTCAAACAGTAGGGAATGAGACCAACAGACGTACTTGCCGAAGGCTAAGCAACGGCCTTTAAGTACCGAAAGCTAATAAAAGCTGAAAACTTTTGTCCAATGGGTAACTAAGGTGATCTTTTCAAGTTGTCCCTTCAATCGGTAGGATAATGGCGATGCCAAAATGCGTAGTTTACTGCGACCGATGGTCCCTACCGTATCTTTTTTTTTTAATAAAAAATGAAAAGAGCTTAAAGGGTACAACAAAGGTTTGAATATATGAGCCGAAGGCCCTTTCATTGATAAACTGCCGAAGGCAAAGATACAATTTGGAGTGCGTTTTACAATTTAGAACCCGCCGTAGGCTAGGGAACGCTACATGCCGAAGGCTGTGTTCGTAGAGAAGCCGAAGGCTTTTGGGACTCCGCTGTAACCCTGCCGTAGGCTAGGTGACTTCATTTAAAATAGTACTTCAAATGCTCTACATTCCAAGGATGACCGAGGGTCTTTCCGTTGGAGTCTCTGAGTCGATAAGTCCCCGATCGCTGGATACCGATGATTTCGTAGGGTCCCTCCCAGGAAGGTCCGAGGGTTCCTTCCGTGGGATTCTTGGTTGCCAAAGAGACTTTCCGCATGACCCAATCTCCGATTCGGAAAGAGCGGGATCTGACCCTGGAGTCATAGTACCGAGAGACGCGTTGCTTGTAAGCTTCGTTCCGAAGGTTGGCTTGTGCTCGGCGTTCTTCGAGCAGGTCGAGGCTCAAGGCGAGCGCTTCCTCATTCGCTTTCGGTGTGAAAGTTTCCGTTCGGTAGGAAGGCTCTCCGATTTCTACTGGGACTACCGCCTTCGAGCCGAAAGCCATGGAGAATGGTGTTTCCCCAGTTGCCGTTCGGTAGGATGTCCGGATGGCCCATAACGCCTCTGGAAGCTTTTCCGGCCAGGCTCCTTTGGCTTTGTCAAGCTGCCGTTTCAATAGCTTCTTGACAATTTTATTCATGGCTTCGACCTGTCCGTTCGATTGGGGGTGAGCTGGCGAAGCAAAGAACAGGTTGATCTTGAGTCGGGTGCAGAATTCTCTAAAGACTTCCGAATCAAACTGCCTGCCGTTATCCGTGACGATGGCGTAGGGGATGCCGAATCGGCAACAAATGTTCGTCCAGACGAAATCTTCGATTCTGGCTGCCGTTATTGTCGCTAAGGCTTTGGCTTCTACCCATTTGGTGAAGTAGTCTACGCAACTACAGCATATTTGACCTGACCCTTGCCCTCTGGCATCGGACCAATTAGATCTAATCCCCATTGGGCGAATGGCCACGGGCTCACGATCGGTGACAGCGGCTCGGCAGGAATATGAGGGACACTACCGAACCGCTGGCATTTGTCACACTTCCTGACCAATATGTTCGCATCTTGGTGCAGAGTCGGCCAGAAATACCCCTGTCGGAAGACCTTGTGTGCGAGCGATCGGGATCCGAATGGTCACCGCAGACTCCGCTGTGGACCTCCCGAAGGATGTAGTCCCCCTGCTCCTTGGTAAGGCATTTTAGATACGGCGTCGTGTAGCCTCGCTTGTACAGAACATCGTTGATGACTGTGTATCTTGCCGATCGGTAACGGAGTTTCCGAGCTTGGGACTTATCGGTAGGAAGGGTTCCGGTTGTCAGGAAGGCATAGATTGGAGACATCCATGTGTCCTCGTACCGAACGGTACACACCTCAGCGCTGTCGTGCTTGGTTGGGATAATATCTCCACCGGTACCTTCCTTCCGATCTTGTCATTTATTGCCGAAGCTAATCGTGAGAGCGCATCGGCGTGGCTGTTTTCTGACCTGGGGATCTGCCGTATCTCGTAGGCCTGAAATTTTTGTAGTAGTTGGTGAGCTGCCGATAGGTAGGCTGACATAGAGGCATCCTTCGCTGCGAAGTCTGCCGTTATCTGATTCACTATGAGCTGGGAGTCACTGTGAATGCTGATCTGCCTCGCGCTCATGCTCTTGGCTAGCCGAAGGCCGGCCAAGAGGGCCTCATACTCTGCCTCGTTATTGGAGGTCCGGAAGTTGAATCGGAGGGCATACTCGACTTTGCTACCGTCCGGAGTGGTTAACACCAAGCCGGCACCACAGCCTTGCTGGTTTGCCGAGCCGTCCACATGCAGGATCCAGAGAGGAACGGAAGTGTCGAAACGTTCGGTATCCATTTTCTCCGGTGCAGTAAGGATGGCGTTCGGTGATGATGGTTCCGATAGCGCAGGAGGTGTGAGCTCGGAGATGAAGTCGGCAACGGCTTGACCTTTTTTCGCAGGCCTCGGCTTGAACTGTATGTCAAACTCTCCCAACTCGATTGCCCATTTGACCAATCGGCCCGACGTTTCTGGCTTTTGGAGTACCTGCCGAAGAGGCTGGTTTGTCAGAACAGTGATCTCGTGCGCCTGGAAGTATGGGCGAAGCCTTCGCGCCGAGACGACCAGGGCCAGTGCTAGCTGCTCTAAGGGTGGGTACCGAAGCTCCGCGCTCTGGAGTGCCTTGCTGACATAGAAAATCGGTAGCTCTGCTTTCTCTGGCTTCCGTATTAACACTGAGCTAACGGCAGTGTTGGATACCGAAAGGTATAGGAGTAGTACCTCTCCTGGGAGCGGTTTTGATAATAGCGGTGCCTGGCTCATGTAGTTCTTCAAGTTTTGAAATGCCTGGTCGCATTCGGGAGTCCATGCGATATGATGTTTGCCCCCTTTCAAAGCTTTGAAGAACGGCACGCATTTGTCGGTAGCCTTGGAGATGAAGCGTGTCAGGGCAGCGACACGTCCGGTAAGGCTCTGAATGTCCTTCTGCGTCTTCGGCGTCTCCATGTCGATTATGGCTTTGATTTTCTCGGGATTAGCCTCGATTCCCCTTTGGCTGATCATGAATCCGAGAAATTTACCGGAAGATACACCGAAGGCGCACTTCGCTGGGTTCAGCCTCATTCGGTAGTCCTTTAGTATACCGAACATGAGGGCCAGGTTTTCCAGATGCCCCCCTGCCGTTCGGCTTTTCACCAACATGTCATCGACATACACCTCCATGATGCCGCCGATGTGCTTGGCAAAAATCCGGTTGACGAGCCGTTGTAAGTTGCCCCCGCGTTCTTCAGGCCAAAGGCATGACGTTGTAACAGTACAAACCGCGATCGTGATGAATGTCGTATGTTCTCTATCGGCAGGGTCCATAAAGATCTGGTTGTATCCTGAATACGCGTCCATGAAGCTGAGCAGCTCGTGTCCCGGCGGTGGCATCGACGAGCTGGTCGATTCTCGGCAAGGGGAAACTGTCCTTCGGACAAGCCTTATTCAGGTCGGTATAGTCCTGACACATCCGCCATCCTCCCTCTGGCCTTCCGAACCATGACTGAGTTGGCAAGCCAAACAGGGTACGTAGCTTCCCTGATAAAGCCGATGGCTTTGAGCTTGTCAACCTCGGCACGCATTGCCTCGTACCGTTCGGCATCGTACGATCGGCGCTTTTGTCTGACCGGTTTGTGGGCGGTGGAGATGCTGAGTTTGTGGCTGATGACGTCAGGTGATATGCCGGGCATATCGTCATAAGACCAGGCGAAGACCTCCGCCTGCTGCCGTAAGAAGTCGATGAACTGTCTTCGGAGGTCGGGACCTAGGTTGGTGCCGATCTTCACCCACCGATCGGGGAAATCTTCGTTTAGGACCACGGTTTCGAGCTCTTCGGCAGGCTGCGCCACCGGCGTTGGTGTTTCCTCCCTGGGGTCATCAATGGGCCCGCTACCGTTCGTAGTCCCTGCACGGTCATGGCTTCCATTGGCGGTTTGCTGGCTACCGACTTAAGGGCCGTGGCATAGCACGTCCGTGCGCTGAGCTGGTCGCCCCGGATGACGCCGGTACCGTTGCGTGTTGGGAACTTCATCAGCAACATGTGGGGGATAAGTGGGCTTTGACCCTGGTGAGTGCCGTTCGCCCTATGATGACGTTGTATGCCGTTGGGCAATCGACAATGAGGAATTGGTCGTAGGTCATTGTTTTCCTGGGGGCGACGCCGAAGGCGATGGGCAGACTGATACTGCCGACTGGCTGGACCAGATCTCCCAGAAAAACTGAGGAGAGGCGTGATTTGCCGATTGACCATGCTGTCGGCAATCCCCAGTCCCTTGAACGCATCGGCAAAAATTACGTTCACCGAGCTTCCGGTGTCGATCAGCACCCGACCCACATCGTAATCGGCGATCTCGGCCCGAATGATCATTGGGTCATCGTGGGGGTAAATGATCCCCTCCTCCTCTTCTTCACAAAATGTGATGGGCTCCCATCCCACCTTCGGCACCTTTCGGCACCGATCGTCTTCTATGCCGAAGACCTGAGGGCAGTGGGCGGCACGCACATACTGCTTCATCGAACGGTTAGAGGGTCCCGCCAGAGTGGGGCCACCGCTGATCGTGCTGATCATGTTGATCTGCCGATTCGCGTTCGGTGCTGGTGCCTGTGGTGGCCTAGCGAGGTATGATCCAACTTTCCCTCCCGAATCAGACGCTCAACGATTTTCCTCAGACTGATGCAGTCTTCGGTGTTGTGGCTGTTCTGCTGGTGGTATCGGCAGAATTTGCCAGTGTCCCGATTATCCTGTCGATTGGGCTTTCGGTTGGTTGGCTTCGGGATCTGGTCATGTTCGTTCATCAGAACGGTCTCGTATGTTGTGTTCAGCAGGGTGAAGACTTCCTGGGCACGATCGTGATTCGGTAGCGGCGCACGGTGGTCGTTACGACCGTATTTCCCGCGGCCCTTTCTTCGAGTTTCCCTGACGACTATCACGGTCGTCCTTCCGTTTGTGTCCTGCCGAAGAATCGTCAGTTCGCCCCGGATAACTTTTGGTCGCTGACTCCTCCTTCCGAGCCGAAGGCCCGGGTTTGGAGTTGAAGTATTCGGCTTTCGCATGAACTGCCGCCTGCTTCATCAACTCGTCGTACGTGCGCCAGTTGCTACTGTGCACGAGGTACCGGAAGTGAGAGGACCGAAGGCCACTCTTGAAGGCGCCGTAGGCTGCCCTATCGTCCGTTTCGGGACACCTCGAGTACTCGTGACTGAAGCGCGCTGCGTATTCCCGTAGGGGTTCGTCCTCCCTCTGCCGAATCGTGTACAGATCATCGGCAGAGTACAAGCGGTCCGTCTGGATCATGAAGTGGTTGAGGAAAATCTGCTTCAGTTCGTCAAAGGAGTCTACCGTCCCTGGCTCGAGACGGTAGAACCAGTTCAGAGCAGCTTCGGTAAGGGACGATGGAAACAGCAGACATTGCCCCTCGTCGCTGAGGCCCTTGCACCCAACTGCCGATTGGAAGGAGTGAAGGTGCGTCAAAGGGTCCTCCACGCCGGTATAAAAGGGTATACGCAACGGCTGCACCTCCCTGTCCGGTTTGGACTTCTTGATGCGCTCGGTAAATGGTCCTGGCTGAAGTTTTCCCCAGTCAGGGACCTGGGACGGGTTCGGTCATCCTCCATCTTCTGGATTCTCTGGAAAAGCAGGCGGATAGCGGGGTCTCGGCTTGGGACGTCCTCGGAACTGAAGTCTTCGGAAGTTCTCCTCGGACTTGGTGGTCTTGCCTTCGAATACTCCGGGGGAGCTTCCGAACGGTAGCTTGATTCGGTGCCCCTGGTGGGGACGTACTCATCATCAGATTCCAGCACCGAATCCAAACCCTGGACCCTCCGAAGGGGCGATTTATCTCCCAGGACCTTCATCCGGGAGTCCCGCAGGCGGGCGTTAACTCCGATTGGGGACCTATGCCGTTCGGCATCCTTCTTGTCGTTGATCCGATGACGACAATCGGTGTACACCTTCTTCGGTACGTGAGGTTGGTCCTGGGGAGCCGGGACCACCAACTGTTTGGAAGGCGCAGGCGTTGCCTTTGCCCCCCTGCTTTCCCTTCCTCTGCCGACCGGGGGTCTGCTGACTCTGGGAAGATTCGGTAGCCTGAATGTTCTGTGTTTCCTGCTGGTTAAGCAACCGTGGGTTTCGTCTACTTTGGACGAAAGGAGATTGTTATGTTCTTGGAGTTTAGCCATCTCCCTCCGAAGGGAGGTCATCTGAGCTAGAAGCTCCGCTTCGACCGTGGTCTGAAGCACAGGAGGATTACCGAAGGGGGTGCTAGGGTGCAGCGCGGGGCTTGCTCCACTTGGCATACCGTACGGTAATCCATCCTCTGATAGGAACTGTGGTCCTGAAGTGGTTCCCATATGTTTTGTTTAGGAATTGTAGGTTGATTGTTATCGTTTCCCACAGACGGCGCCAAACTGTTGACGCAGAAAAATGGTTCGGCACTTTCCCGCGCAACTTAGTGATTATGTTCCTTCGGTATCTGATGTCCTCGGTAGTGTGTCCAATCTGTAAGATAGCAAACACACGGTAAGTCCTAGGGCACCGGTGTGGTACCGGCCGAAGGCTCTCCGATGCTTAAGTAAGTACGGATTTAGTAAAGTTTGAACTACAGATCAATAGGCAGTATGCCGTGAGTTCTGATTGATTACCTCCAAGCTGGGATGGTGGTCCTCTTTTATAGGCCTTGGGAGGTGTGCAATTTGTTTAGAGTTTCGATGTGGGACTCTGGACATCAGTTGTGGGACTGCCACGTGTCGAAGGGGGCGAAGTTGCCCTAATGTTGCGATCGGTGGGTTGGTACCGAAGGTGGATGCCGAAGGCACCCATGGCCCTGGTTTAGTCCACGTGTCCGATATTCATTGGCTGTTCATTTTGGTATAAACAACTGATATGAGAAACTTGACTTCAGGTAAATCATAACATAATCATGCATTCATTATAGGATTCCTAGTTGGAGTTGTTTTCACTCAAGTTTTTTATTTTATTTTATTTTTATTTTTTTATGTTAATCTTATTTTTAATAGGATTATATTTTATCTCTTAAGATTACTTTCCTAGTTGGACTCTATTTTGATTTAAGTTAAAATATTAATTTTCATCTTCGACTTGAAAAGCACATTTTATTAATACCTAAATGGGTTTTGGAGGATTAGGGTTTTTAGGGGTTTTCTTGTTTTTGTTAATTCTTTTGTTTGTTGGAAGAAGAATGAGATATTGTGGATGGTTGGAGTTTCGCAGGGTGGGTTTTGAGAAATATCTGGTGTAGAATTTATGATTGTTTGTTTGTGTCCACAAATCTTCTAGGGTTTAGTGTTGGACTTGGACCAACAAGTCTGAATTTTGGGTTTATACTTGCATTTTGAATGTGCCAACAAAGATTGTATGTTAGCTACTTTTTTGGGTGATTAATTGGAGATTATGAACATCAGTTTCAAGTGCTGGTCCTTATTGCTATCAGTTTAAAATATTTTTCAAGTATTATGAGTGAGTTGGGTTCAAAAGCAATTTTCTAAAGTCATATTGTAATTAAATTGTAATTAACCAATTGTGGTTTATTTGAGAGGCCAAATTAAACCAATTTGTTTTGGTATCAATTTATCAAATGCCAAACGAATCCGGACTGGAAACAAGTTTTCAACAAAACCCAAATCCAATCAAGCCACACACAAACCAATAAATTTCGGATTAATTTGGGTTGGGCTAATGGGTTTTAGGCCCATATTAAAATATTAAAATTAAGATAAATTTTGCATCACATTTTCATCGATGGACTGACGTGTCCGTATCTGACGAATGTACCTCGCAATTGCCTTGTGCTTTCTGGTTGGCCAGCATCATAGTCTTCCAATCTGATGATAAGGAGTGAAGAAAAGGTGGGGTCTGGCTAATGTCAGAAGAAAATTGAAAGAGAAGACCTGGGTCAGGAAACCATCTAGACCTTGTATATTTTAAGTCAAGAAACCATCTTTGTCTCTCCTTCAAGACATAGTTTTGTTACTTGATGTGAGTTGAGCAAGAAAAATGGGTTCCTCAAGATCAATGCTTTTCTTCATTAATCTTGCTATTATTATCTTAAACCTTGTTGCTCCCACCATAGCCCAAGATGATGGAATATGCGCATTTAGAGCTGATTACTGCTGGAAATGCTCTGATACTGGCACCTACACAGCAGGTGACAAGTACCAAGAGAACCTCAAAGCCTCCTCTCTTCCTTCTCCTCCAGCACCCAAAACAATTCCGGGTTTTACAGTTCATCCAGGGGACAAGACCCCAACAAGATCAATGCAATTGCATTATGCAGAGGAGATCTCTCACGGGACTCTTGTCAGGCTTGTCTCAACAAGTCTACTGATATTCTCTTGCAAAATTGTTCAACTCAAAAGGAAGCAATCATATGGGCAGAGCGTTGTATGGTGAGATACTCATACAACTTGATATTTGGTATTGAACAAACGGACCCTCTTAAGCACGTGCCTAGCCCAAACTTTCCTAAAAATCCTCAACAGTTTGCGCTGGTGCTTACCCCCTTGTTGGATATTTTAAGTGACAGAGCTGCGTCAGGGAATTCTCTTAAAAAATTTGCAGCAGGGCATGCAACTGTCCCTGGAGGTGAAACAATATACGCACTTGCTCAGTGCACTCCAGACATAGACAAGCAAAATTGCAGCAGTTGCCTTAAACAGTCCGTCACAGAAATTCCAATCTGTTGCGGTGGAAGGAATGGAGGAAGAGTTCTTAGACCCAGCTGCAATTTAAGGTATGAGAATAATAGTTTCTTTGCGTCTGAGGACGATTCGTCAGTAGATATTCCAGCTCCAGTTCCGGCAGCACCAGCACCTAAAGAAGGTATGTATGCTTATTATGGTTACCCTGCAAATCTTCAATTGTGTGGTGTGGTTTTGGCTTTTGATAAGATATACCATATGATTTTCAGCAAAAAGAAGAGTAACACAAACAAACTGTCATCATCATCGTTGTGGTTTTGGTTGTTTTAGTCACTATTTTCAGCAGCATATGCTTTTTCTTCAGAGTAAAGAAACGAAGGGTAAAACTTGAACAAGGTAAGTTCAACTCTGTTTATTTATCTTATCAGAGGTTTTGGGACTCTGTTTGCTCATTCATTTTCCCCTTTCAGATGAGAATTCGGAAGAAGTGAGTCTGGTGGAATCGTTGCAATACGATTTTGAAACTATAAGATCTGCAACAGATGACTTCTCTGATGCAAATAGCTTGGACAGGGTGGATTTGGAGCGGTTTACAAGGTAACGAAACACTATCACAAGGAAAAAGATTCATCATGAAGGAATTGTTTTGCGTAATTAACTTTTCAAATTTTCTTATAAACCTTCAGGGTAGGTTAGCGAATGGAACATATATAGCTGTGAAAAGGCTCTCTAAGAATTCTGAACAAGGTGATCGTGAATTCAAAACTGAAGTCACGTTAGTTGCTCAACTTCAGCATCGGAACTTAGTGAGGCTGCTAGGTTTTTGCTTGAAAGCAGGGGAAAGAATCCTCATTTATGAATATGTGCCTAACACCAGCCTTAATCACTTCATTTTTGGTATGTTTGCTCTACTTTTTGTCATAATTCATAATCATTTCTGCCTCGATTTTGTATTATAGGAAAGCATATTAACAAAATCATGTTTCACTTTGATGGAATTGTATTTAGATCCAATCGATCAAGCACATTTGGATTGGGAAACACGTTACAAAATCATAGGAGGCATTGCTCGAGGGCTTCTTTACCTTCACGAAGATTCTCGACTTCGAATTATTCACCGTGATCTTAAACCTAGCAACATTCTGTTGGATGAAGATATGAATCCTAAAATTGCAGATTTTGGCATGGCAAGATTGTTTATGATGGATCAAACTCAAGGAGATACTAACACAATTGTGGGAACCTAGTAAGTATCTGCAAATTTCAAAGCTATATTACATTGTTGTGCTTGTTCACACCATAACTAAAAATTTAATTTGATGAATACAATAATGCAGTGGATATATGGCTCCAGAGTATGTAATTCATGGACGTTTTTCAGTCAAGTCGGACGTCTTTAGTTTTGGCGTGTTAGTTCTTGAAATCTTAAGTGGTAAAAGGATTAGCAGTTTTCAAAATGGAGAGAATGAGGAGAATCTTTTAAGCTATGTGAGTATGAATATAAGGTTTTACATTACCAAACTCTTTTGCTACCAAAAAAACTTAACAAGAGAAAGCAGCATAATTTCTTCTTTAATTAATGTGTTTATGAACTTGATAGGCCTGGAGGAATTGGAGGGATGATACAATGGCAAATATCATGGACCCAAAGCTGACGACAGGTTTAGGATTGAAATGATGAGATGCATCCACATTGCATTGCTATGCGTCCAAGAAAATGTGGCAAGCAGACCATCCATGGCTTCAGTTGTCTCTATGCTTAACAGCCATTCTGTCACACTCTCATTACCCTCACGACCGGCATATTATTTGCAACATAACAGTGGATCAGACATAACAGGGTCCGATGAATCCAAAAACTCTATGCATGCGTCAGGAAATAAGAATTCAGATTTTACTGAACCATATGCTCGCTAGTGGGGTGGGGCTGAGTACGCATCAGGAACAATTTATTTTCTTTTCTTTGATATGCGTGTTTGATTGATATATTTGAACAACTGCAGCTCAAGTTAAATATTTTCTGTACATAAAGTAAAACCAAATTGTCGTTTATTTGAGAGGCCAAACCGACGTTGACTGAGTCCACAACACTGGATCAGACAAACCGACGTTGACTGAGTCTGACCAATCCAAAACCCTCTCTGTCTATGCATCAAAATCTGAGACTTGAAATTACTGAACCATTTTCCATCTCTCTCTACTACTGAATTGAAACCCTCCTTTTTGAAATGGTGCGGTAGCTTTTCTTTGAGAGCCAGGAACAAAACCTCATCAATTTCCCAATAGTTGGAAGGACAAGAGGCGGGTGGGCCCCTGGTACAAAGTGACATAAAGTGTTAATGTCCTCAAGCTTTCACGCCAATATCACTCATCAAATTAACTTGAGGAATAGCTCTAAATGCCACCTTTTTATTATATATAAAAGGCCGAAATTAACTAGGAATGAATTGACATAAAACGTGACCCTATTTTTTCTGGGTGCAGGCTTATAATTTGTAGAACGGTTCATAAAAAAATAATAAATATAAATAAATAAATAATGTATTTAAGTCGAATTCAAGTAAGCTTCAGATGGGTTACAATAGGGCTACAAGCCCCCTCCTGTAAGTTAACGTTGTGGAGAGGCATGAAGTTGCAGATGGATTCTTATTTATTCATTTAATTTAATTTAAAAAATAGCCATGGACGCAGAACTCAGAGGAGTCCTTTTTATTTGAATAAGCCCCACAACACTGTCTTTAAACAGGGGATTGGTCATATTGTACTACAAACCCATAAATAAAATTTAATTGTCAACAGCAACCAACTGGGGCAATGAGTGGAGATAAAGTCAAGTGTTCACAGCAACCATCTGGGGCTGTTAAACCAAGAATTGAAGACACAAGTTCTTACTAGTTTGTATACAACACTACTTTTGACTTCAGCAACAAGAAATGGGTTCTTCAAGATTGCTCATCTTCTTCATTGCACTTCCTATTATCTTGAACCTTGTTGCTCCTCCTGCCGTTGCTCAAATTGATGACGGTGTGTGCACTTACACAACCCATGCATTCATTATAGGATTCTTTTTTTTTTTTTTTTTTTTTTTTTTTTTTTTTTTTTTTTTTTTTTTTTTTTTTTTTTTTTTTTTTTTTTTTTTTTTTTTTTTTTTTTTTTTTTTTTTTTTTTTTTTTTTTTTTTTTTTTTTTTTTTTTTTTTTTTTTTTTTTTTTTTTTTTTTTTTTTTTTTTTTTTTTTTTTTTTTTTTTTTTTTTTTTTTTTTTTTTTTTTTTTTTTTTTTTTTTTTTTTTTTTTTTTTTTTTTTTTTTTTTTTTTTTTTTTTTTTTTTTTTTTTTTTTTTTTTTTTTTTTTTTTTTTTTTTTTTTTTTTTTTTTTTTTTTTTTTTTTTTTTTTTTTTTTTTTTTTTTTTTTTTTTTTTTTTTTTTTTTTTTTTTTTTTTTTTTTTTTTTTTTTTGGGGCATCGGATGTCCCAAGAACATAGGGGCTATGGGAATCATGCCGCCATGCGCTATTGCTAAAGCCAAGGGGAACACCTGCGCATGCAGACAATCTTGGGAAAATTCACAGAGGAGGAATTTCCCGAACCATAATGATACAAACGCAGCAAGACGACACTGGCTCTTCGCCTACTGCAACATCTTCACAAGCATTCTTGAGAAATGGAGAGGGCCTTCCCCTCTTCAATTTATCATCCGTTGAATAAAGGTAGCCACTAATAATTGACAACGGGTTAGTGAATGCCATGGCAGGTCTTGACAAGCGATGAATCCCTGCAAGAATTGCCAACAAAGAATACGCTGAAAAAACGGCAAAGCATAAAGCTAGTTCTCTGTGTTAAAGCCAAGCAATCTCCACACTAGCATGCAAGCCATATGAACTTTACAAGCCAAGCAAAGCAAGCTATCTCATGCCAAGCGAAATGCATAAACAAAAAAAAATATTTTTGAAGCATCATGCAATCTATTACTCGAGCTCATGATAAGCAAATTTCCCATTCCATGCTCAATCAATCATTCCAGCAGACCCTTTTTTCACAAAGCAAGTGCTACAAACTGAGCACTATTTACCTCATAGTAACCTTTTTCACAAAAACGAAATACCTACGAGTTACACAGCATCCTTGCAGACCCATCATACACATGTTTATGTCTATCCCTATAAAGCCAAAAAAATAAACAGTTATCCATGACCAAATTCTAAGCTCATAAAGAAAAAAAAAGAAACCAATGGTGCTTTTCTCAAAGCTTTCAATAGCCTCTAATCCTATGCATTAATCATACGATTACAAGCATGCGCTCGTGATGCATATAGTTCAACAACAAAAAAGCGGGTCAAGAACGCAGCACACGCAAAATATACGCCAAGCAGGGCAAGTCAAGCTCAGGCCAAAGGAAACACTTAAGCAAATACCCAAGCAGCATACAATTTATCCATGGCAAAGCGAAATTTTCAAGCAATTCCCATGACAAGCAAATTCTCCCTCAAAATGCAAAAGGATTCAAGCATTGCAGAGCATGCACTCTGTCAATTTCTATTTCCACAACATGGGAGAAAAGTCCAAATTTATTCAAGCATGCGAAAAACAAGCCTAGGCCAAGATATCAGTCTATATCTATTCCTACAGAGTTAAAAAGAAGGACCTGAGATTCCAGTGAACGAGCAAAGCCCATGGGCATGAAGAGCCCAACAAGCCCCTCGATAGATTCAAGAAATTGCAAAAGGAAAGGGCATACCTTGTCAATCACCTCAAAGGACGACCTCAAATGCACCAAGAAAGAAGGGAGGTTGGTGCTGGAAGAAGGGTAGTAGGTGCCGGGAGAAGGGTAGTTGGTGCTAAAAGAATATCGTATCTTCTATTTCACGTTACCATCTCCTTCATCACCATTGTTGATCTCATTATTTATGCAACCAGCTGACCCATCATTGCAATTATCCCCATGTTTTTCTGCGCAGACTTTGGCACCATCATTATTTTCAGGCATACTTAAGAATTGGTCTTTCTGAAGATGGATACTTCGGCAACTAATACTTGCAAGAACTTCTTCTCATGGCCATACGACAAACTCCTGAAAAATCACAAGCTTTATTCATGCAATTGCACTACAGCAAAATTTAAAGCTTTTCAGACAAAACATCTTGCGAAAGGCTTATGGGGGCTTAAGAGAATCCATCATAGCAAACAACACATGCAAACTCCAAATGACTTGGGGGCTTCATGTCAAGCAAAAGAGAGAGACAAGAATCCTGAAGCTGTTGTAAATTTCAATTTTCCTCTTGGAGGAAAGCAAACTGTTTGTTACTTATCTGGAGGAAAACAAGCTGTATGAATCTCTTCCAGCAACTCGCTTAGCCTCTTCCTTCTCATCTTCAGTCTACTTCTTCCAAAGATCTTCTTTGAAGCAAATTTTACAAGCAGGCCTCTACTTTGTTTCTCGACCCTGAGTAAGCCAAAGAGAATATAACCCAACTCTGCAACCAATTGCTGACCTCAACAAGCTGACTTGAGGGCTTCATGCCAAGCAAATTCAAGGAAGTACACCATGCCATCCAAACAAGCAAACCCATCTACCTTTTTTTGCCACACAGTATAAATCATCTCTTTGATTACAACAAGCCTAGATAATCTTGCATTATGGTGAGAAACAATTTTCTATTTCCCCTTTTTGAAACAAGCCAAGTTACATTCTTCTAGCACCTACTCCATAAGCAAAGAATTTTTATCACCTACCCTATTTCAAACATCCTTCCAGTACATGCCTAATTTCAAACATTCTGCTAGTTTCAAATCTTCCAAAAGCCTTCATATCGCAAGTCAAGGTGCAAGCAACCAAAACTCACCTTCATGCTACCAAATTCCTTGCAAATTAGTAAGAAGATGGCATTTCTCATGCTGTGGAATCTCTCAATCAAGCCTGAAAAATAAATAAGGGAGTACGTTGGTCAGATCAGGTGCTGGAAGGGAACTTGTAAACAGAAAGGGGGGCACCGGAAGCATAATCGCTATTGAAACATATTTTTTTAAAAGACAAGTGGCAAGGGACCAAAACTCACTTTCATGCTATCAAAATCCTAGAAAATTATATTTCTCATGCTTTGGAGTTTCTAAACAAAAGAATACTTTAGCCAAAATCAGAAGCCGGAAAGGTACTCATACACAAATGGAGGCGCCAGAAGCATAATTTTCTCATAATGCAAGCAAACTCATGTATCAAGCATTTAACAAAATTCACAAGGCTTGAAACCAATCCACATGCCAAGAAATTTCATTCCATTCAAGCATTCCAAGCAATTCGGGCATTTCAAGCAAATTGAAGAACTCATGCTCTTATGACAATACCTTTCAACATCATGCTGTCACAACAATATTGCTCAAGAACATGCTCTAGCAATACTCAGATCAGCACTCAATGCCAACAAAAAGGACATGCCAAATTCTCAACAAAAAGCAGCATGCCAAGCAAAACTTATACACAAGCTTTCCAACCATCCTAGCTAGAACATCCCACCTTTAGAAAATCACTATAAATCAAGCTTACAACCAACAAATCCCAGACTTTCCAGATTAGAACTAGACATATCAAGCTTCATTTTCCCAAAATTTCGTTGCATTTCAAGCTAGGGAAGCATGTCAAACAGATTTCCAAGACAGCCCACACAGCAGAAACTGTACAGCTCCCAG